GATTTACCTTCATCAGGAACGCTGAAAGACCGTTTTGGAATGTCTCACAGATGACGATGGCTATGTTTCAGTTGTCGTGACCGCAGTCCCGTCCTCTTTTTCTCGTGTTTGACAGTACCAAATTAGACTTATATTCGATTTGTAAGTACATGAGCAACACGACAAGTGAGATCAGCCCATGTTTTTGGTGAGGTTTTCGTTGCCGCGGCTAAGTCTCCAGATTTCTATGTTGTGTTTTGTGGACTTTTCATTGTCTTTTCGTTGTTTTTCGTTTGTTGTCATGTAGTAATCCGTTTTTCTTCCACTTATGAGTTGGAATATCCTTTGGTATTTCCCGCCTCTCTTTTTGTTGACGTGTACCCACATTCCCTTTACCAAACTGATCTAAGATATGTAGAGGCAGTGTATATAGACAAGATCTACGCATGCTCGGCATTTCATTCGATTGTGGCTTCCAGAAGACCTTGCTTATAACCAACTTATTCTCACTGAAATTGTGTACACAATTAATTGAATCTTAAAGTTGTGAACTTTATGAAAAGGACATCCCATTTAAAACGGATCATATCACAGGCACTTGTCTCTGAAAAAAAAATCCTATATACATTAAGGTATATAGGAAATTTTTTTCAGAGACAAGTGTCTGTGGATGATATTCAAAAACTGTCGATGTAGCCCACAAATAATGGCAACCGCAACAATTACTATTATCCTTCTTTTTAAGATGGTCCCAGATGAATTGCAACAGATCATGTTTGTGAAGTTGCGGTATGAAATTTAATTCAAAATACAAACACCTATATCAGAGTGGAGGACGGCATGATTTCATTTAGTAGGCTAAGCTTTTCTACCTTTTTTTAATGTAAATGAAATAAAAGGTTGACAAAAACAGGAAAGGTCTAACTCTTGTTGAAAGAAAAATACACTATAAATCAACGTATCCAATTTTTAAGAACAATTAAGAAAAAAAAGTGAAGAAGACTACACCTATTTATTTATGACGGGTTGACACTGACCAGTGATGATGAGTCTAAAAATAGAAAAATACCTCCAGGTAAAGTATAGAGATTTGTTGTGTATAATGCAGATCACTCCCGGTTTTTGGTGGGGTCTTTCGTTTTCTATGTCACAAGTTGTGTACTGTTGTTTGTCTTTTCGTCGTTTTTCCGGCTTTTTTTTTGCCATGTCCTTATCAGTTTGTTTTCGACTTATGAGTATGGATATTCCTTTGATATCTTTCGCCTCTCTTGTGAAAAGTTCTTTTTTAAAGGATGCGATTTAGGTTTTAAGGGTATGACTGTACAGATGGGACGAGATTACCATACAGGAACGAATGGTAAATTATTTAAACAATGGGTTGGGAAACAGTTAGTTCCCGATTTCCCCCTAAAAAGTATTGTAGTAATAGACAATACATAATACAACAGTGTCCGTGTTGAGGGTACAAAATATCCCACATCTAACTCAAGAAAAGATGATATTCTGCATTTTTTTTTATAGACATCGAATTTGACAGCAAGTCTATAAAACCGAAGCTATATCAAATAATCGAATCTAAGAAAATTAACCCTGTATATAAGGTAGCCGATTTCCTCAAAAAAGGGACATTAAGTACTAAGACTCCCCATTACCATTGTGATTTGAACTCTGACTATTGAACTTGTATGGGAATAATTTAAAATTAAGGGATTTATCGGTCAGGAAAGTTCAACTTTTAAACTTGAATAATGTTAAATCACTTTAATATCCAAAAAGGATTTGAACAAATTGACAGGGTTAAGTGTTTAAAATCTTGTGATCATGTTAAAAGTATTATTGACGGCTGTTATATTACACTATGTATACTTACTCCAACGGTATTCAACATTTCAAAAAATAAAATTAACTTAGAGACCTATTGGGTTATTTTTTTTAATTACAGACCCAACATTGTGAAATTAATAATCAGAATTCGCATATATGATAAATTAACATACTTCAGAGAAAAAGTATTATTTAGAAAGAAAAAAAACGGATTATTCAGATTTTTTTCTGCATATATATAGATGTCAAAATGGACAATATCACCTGTTACATATCCTCCTTGTAAGAAAATGTACTTGAGCATTACTTCCATGTAGGAATAAACAGTACCGTACAAGGATGTGCTAACTGTTTACACTGTTGTCATGACTACATACTCATATCCAAAATACCTACTTTTAAAAAGAGTATTAACACAATTTTGTCTTGCTTTGATGTTGTCAAAATCGCTGTAAGTTATCGCACTCATTTATTATAATCAACAAAACATTTTATGCATTTTAGTTTTGTGTGTTTTTGGTCCGTGATTGTATGATTAAAACTAATTTGTGTGTGCCTGTGCTATAAACATAGAATAAGTACAAGGGTTCTAATTCCAATGTTTAAATGCCTGAGAGTCTTTGGGCATTGCTGACTCTTATAGGAAACTTACACTTGGGACCTCGGTATGGCACACATGTTTGAGTTTTGTATGAAAATCCCCGTTTATTTTTTTTGTTATCAGGCGAGTGTGTAACATAAATTCCAATGTTATTTACGTCCTTTTACTGATTATGACCTTTGATGATTTAGAGTCGTTATATATAGGCTTTAACTTCTGCACGGGTGTTGAATATACTTTGTTTTATATGACCGGGTTTTGAAGGAATTAGTTAAGTCCAAAGCTGCGGACTTCAGTTTTGGTTGTTCGTATATATTTGTTTTGGTGGGAAAGAAAGGATATGGTGTATCAATTCATGACACAAAATTTAAATCACTACCCGCACATGGAAAAAGGAAAGGAACAGCACTTTTATGGCTCAAAGTCACAGTCAGGCAAAAACTTTCACCACATTGCAAGTTCAAGACGACCTCTAACATCGGTTTGAGCGTAAATTTTTGCTAGTGAAAATATCAATCACAAATTATCTGTTCATTGAAGAACACATGTGTGGTGTAATATATACAAATCATAAATTATATCAGCTGTCAGAAATTATCTTGATGATCTGCTCAACTCTTTCTTTTCATTTGATTTATTTCGCTCTTTTATTTTCTATATTTGATTTTAACTTGCGTCTAATGTAGATTAAATGATTTCCAATAAATATTTTCTCTTCTGCAATACCAGGCCAAATTTAACCAAACTTGGCCACAATCATCATTATGGTTATCTTGTTTTAAAAATTTGTCCGGTGACTCTGCCTGCCAACCAATTTTGTCTTTTTTGCCCATTATCTTGAAAACTATAAAATAGACCGAGAGAAACTTGAAATAACAAAAAAAAAATTATGAGCAAGGCACTCATACCACATCTTTTCTAAGATCTACAAGTATAAATGAAATGGCTGGAATCGTCCGACGACTCCTTATTGGAATTATTGCCCATTTTTGACTATATTTAACTATTTTTTTGCGTTTTTTGCTTAATATCATAAAAGTTTTAATAGATAGATAGAAACTTAAATAAGCAAAACTGATCAGCAAGACAATATCTACAAATAAGTCAACACGATCGAAATCTTCTGACCACTCCTTTCTGGAGTTATTGTTATTTAATGACGATTTTTACCCATTTGTAGTGTTTTTGCCTATTATTTATTGAAAACTACAAAAGAAAGAGAGAAACTTAGAATAGCAAAAATGATCAGCAAGACACTATTTACAAATATTAAGTAGAAAGGCTGAAATCGTCCGACGATTGAGTCTCCTTTATTGACTATTTTTACCATTTTTTGGTGTTTTTGTCTGACATCTTAAAAATAGATAAATAAACACTTAAATAGGCAAAAAATTATCAGCAAGACAAGATTTACAGGCTCATTGCCGAAATCGTCAGCCAACTTCTTAATGGAGTTATTACTCTTTATTGACCATTTTTACTCATTTTGGGTGTTGTCTGATATCCAAAAAAACTATAATAGATAGATAGACACAAGCTCCGTGTTGAAGGCCGTACTTTGACCTATAATTGTTTACTTTTACAAATTGTGACTTGGATGGAGAGTTGTCTCATTGGCACTCATACCACATCTTCTTATATTTACTTTAAATGACTAGCAAGACAAAATCTACGAATACGATAAAATTCCGTCGAAATCGTTATAGTAGTCTTTATAGGAGTTATTACCCTTAAATGACGATTTTCTTACCTTTTTTGTGTTTTGGGCAAAAACTGAAGAAGATAGAAAGAAAATGTAAACAGAAAAAATTATCATCAATACAAGATCAACAAAAAAGTTTGTTTTGTCATGAATTCTATTCTAGTCCACAATGTTGGAGAGTGTCCATAGATTGTTGAAGATGCACATAGACCTAGGAGAGCGACACAGGCTCGTTAGAGCCTTTAGTTTAAATATGCATGCAGTCTATTTTTTACGTTTCACGATCCTCTCATTCCTTTTCACATAAAAACCTCAAATTATATTGCGCGTTCAAATTTGAACGCACTTTTATGGTTTCCAAGGTTTTAGGTGCATGAAAACGGCCGAAATCCCTTATTTAATACATTCGTTTTAAGTATGATTGCTTTACACTGCTTTCCCTTCGCAAGAATTTCTAGAGTATAGCAATTTTTTTAAATGCCATATTTCATCATGATTTTGAAGAACATATCAAGAAATTATAATGATGGAGAAACGTGCCGTTTCCAATAGAGTTTTACATGTGTATTTATGATCCATTGTAAATACTGTGTACGTTTAAACATTGCCAATGTGTTGTCTTATCTAAAATATGTAAATATACTGTGAAAGGAACGTGTAAACGATTATATTACTCCACTTATTTCTACTTTATAAGAAGATAGAATAAAAATGTTTTGTTTAATGATAACTGCATCCAAGCTCCATTTAAGATCTAATTTTTGTAAAGTTTTAATTACAAGATACATTGTTTCAAATATTTCGTGACAGGTAGTCTTATAAATAGTAGCTAGGTATAGATGTATTTTAAATGGACAAAAGATCGCATGACTAAACATTTTAAACGAATTATGAGGTTATCCATTGAAATATAGTCTTAACAACAAGACGAAGTATGTAAATAAATAGAGTTATGATGTCGGAGATTTAAATTATATAGGACGACACACTCTTTTCAAAATGGATGTATTTGACTTTTTTGGATATTTTTGCTTTTATTTCTTTGGACTGCTCTTTTCAGGTAATCACTAGATTTGAAAAAAGATTATTTTAACAACCTATAAGGCCTTAATTAATAGTGGATACATAAAGAGGTTATTATTAGGGAAGTGACAGACAATATCGTGATATGTTTAGAAATGTTGAAATATATATTTATATATTATTGATATTTCTATATGTACATTATTGATACCACATATTTACTTCGTCATGTTTATGTAATGTTATTAATTATGACCTCATGTTACACATTTATCTGTGACTGAATGTTCAAATAAAATCGTGAACCTTGAAGAAAAAAGCGAACCTCCCAAAAATATTTCTTGACCGGAGTTTGTTTCCAACATCAGCATCAGGGAAATTTAACATAGTATAAATGCTATCATTTCATTTGAATGGAAGATTGAAAGATAGAAAAACTTAAGATCACACCCATCTTTAAATAATATACCTTTACTTTCAATTGTTCTCTTTTGAAATGTGTTTTTATTATTGTTTTTCTTGGCTGTTATTTGTTCATTCATTTACAGAACTCAAACATAAAAAAATGTTTGAAATAAAGTTTTGAATTGAAATTTCTCTCGTAACTCCCTGACAAAGCCATTTATCTATATTCCACCATCTCTCCATTTCTATGTTTAATTATTGGTCTTTAAGTTAACATATTTGTTAATGTACAGTATATAAGATGCCCATTACTAGTATTGAATTTTTATGTATATATCTACTTAGTATTTCTGTCTCTAATTAATATACGTCTAGTCATATTCATAGGATATGGCTTGATCACTTCATGAGTTTACCCCTTTTTCACGGCCGACACTCGGCTAACCGAGAGATTGGTCGGTTAATCTATATTGAGTATGCGGCTATATGGGCGGTTGGTCTGTTAATCGGGTCGGTTATACGTCTGTTAAGAGTAAAACGCACAATTTAAATGTTAAACTCTGTTAAATATACAGATTTTTGGCATATTATAAGAACCAAATAAAAAAAAGAAAAGTGTCTGACAAAATGATATCTATCATAGAACATTTTCCACCTGTAAAAACATTTCATAGTCTGCGCAAACTTCAGTAAAACTAAAAGGCGTCGCGCAAGTATGTGGTATTTATAGCAATTGTTTTAATAAAAGGCGAAACAAACAATTTTAGATATCATTTAAAGGACACAAAATAGTACTTTGGTTCTAAGAAATAAATTGACATTAGTAAATATTTCATAATTGTAATATAACGTGAGTAATACCACGTTTTAGTGACTATTAGGAGAATAAAGTCTGTTAATGGGTTGGACAATTAAAATTGTGTCAGTTAAGAGTTATTTAGCCACGACAATAGTTTTGCTACCTTTATAATTTCCCATTAAAAAAGTTAAGAATGAGATGCACTTGAGTAAAAAAAAAATGACAATACGGTGCAACAGTATCCTTGTAGTAAGAGAATTTTTATTTTGACTTTCTTTGCATTTTATTGAAAGGTGTGTCACTGCAATATAGCGTGATATGGATTGGCCGCTGGAATATGCAAGAATTTATTATTAACGTTTTCAATCAGCCTTGATTTTTGTGTCTGTTCAAAGAAGCACGTTCAAAAATCCGACTGAAAGTGTCTGTCTTATACAACACCGGGTACATATAACGTGTTGTCGTTCTCATATGGACATGATAATTGCCACTCGACGTTAAACCCTAATTCGTCAGCATCATCCAATTGGTTCTTTTGTTCTATTACTTAATCATATGTTTTTTTTTACAAAACATTCTAAAGAAGTAAATGGAAAGAAGCGAATGCGGCTACATTTGATTAGCTTAAGTTTTAATTCATTTTTTTCCGTTTAGTTCCTTTCTACATAAGTGCAGAGGAGAACTGCAGTTGTGCGCTTGTAAAATTCTAGCATTTGTCACCAATTTGAGTACATCGCAATCCGTTACTGTTTCAACCACCCCCTCCCCCTGAAATTTTGTTTTGTTTGCACTTTACAATATTTACTGAGCTATCAGATTCAGCGGTTGACAGGAGGCCAATGTTTATCGGACTCCAGTCTCAAATAACATAAAGTAATATACAGTAACAAAAATTGCAAAGCATCTATATAGATATCGTTGTCTATACTATTAATTTAAAAATAAGGAGATGTGGAATAAATGCCAAAATTGTTTTAACAATCATCTTGGAGGGTCTAAATAGTAAAAAGGGGTGTTTCATGTCTGTATTCTTAAACAATTGTTATTTTTCTCTCTTTTTTAGCAATGCATCACTCTCTACTGTCCTTATCTATTATTCTATATTCTGCGTCCAGATTCTCGTGTATACCATGAGGGTCCGGATTGGGGGTGTTGTTTATTTCTGTATTCTTTAAATTGTTATGTCACTTTTCTCTACATTTTATTTATTTTTCTCATTATTCTTTCTCTATTCTTTATATTTTAGCATCCCAATATATTTTACTTACTGATGTTTAGTTACATTACGACGTTTATCTCTGATATACAAAAAGCAGATGTGGTATGATTGCCAATGAGACAACTCTCCACAAGAGACCAAAATGACACAGAAATTAACTACTATAGGTCACCGTACGGCCTTCAACAATGAGCAAAGCCTATACCGCATAGTCAGCTATAAAAGGCCCCGAAATGACAATGTAAAACAATTCAAACGTGAAAACTAACGGTCTTATTTATATATGAAAAAAAAAATGAACGAAAAACAAATATGTAACACATAAACAAACGACAACCACTGATTTACAGGCTCCTGACTTGGGACAGGCACATACATACATAATGTGGCGGGGTTAAACATGGTAGCGGGATCCCAACCCTCCCCTAACCTGGGACAGTGGTATAACAGTACAACATAAGAACGAACTATAAAAATGATGTATATACTGGTTACAAATATAGATGACAAATTGGTTTCATTCATAACAACGAAACAAAATTCACATGATATTTGCAACCATTCTTGAATGAAATTAATATTACTTTAATATTACACTTTTTGAAACCATTTTTATCAATTTCCAATTTCCATTGTCTAAATTTATGTTTCATTGTTCATGTGTTGTTTCCGTATATTTTAGCCACTCGTCTTGAGCCTACCCATTTGATCCGATAACTCCCCATAAAGCAATCAAATTATATTTTCATTGCCATTCATAACTCTTAACAGACCAAATAACAGACCGGGTTTTATACATCCGACCCATTAACAGACCAGGTTTTTAATAAAAATTGATTAATATCACCAAAATACAGATTTTCGTGTAGATTTTTCACACAATGATTTTAATATGGTTAACAAACATAATGCCTGTCTTTTTTCGATGAACAAAGTATTGTATGCAAGTAAATTCAGCCAGGTTGTCATTTTGTGTACATTTTGTGTGTGTAAAATGTGTATAAATTTATTGATGAGTAACCCGCCTTTTCATTTTATTGATTGTTTATCGAAGCTAGAAAAAAAAAATAATTACACCACTGGATTCAGTACATTGAATTGTTTTGTCAGACATGAATAATTTTTATGATAAAAAATATATTTAAAAAGTTATACAATGAAACATACTGAACTTGCAAGTATTTTCTCGATAACACCTGATTAACAGACTTTAGCCAACCCAATTAACAGACCAACCGCCGATATAGCCGCATACTCAATATAGATTAACCGACCAATCTCTCGGTTAGCCGAGTGACGGCCGTGTTTTTGGAGTAAAGAAAAGAAGTGTTAAAGCAAATGTTTTGTTATATCCCTTAATTAGCCAATTAAATAAAGGTATGAAAAAGAGACACTTTAGAGATCGGTGGCGTAGATACTCACTGAGATCAAAATAAAGATTACAATTTTCAATTTTCACGACATCGATTTTTTACAAATTTATAAAAGATATATTTCACAATTAATATACACTATATCAATCTATTTAAATGTCAAATATTAGGTGATTTTTCTTTGTATCCAATATTTTACGGATGGTTATGTGCAGGTTGCTTATATAACCCCCTTGCATAGTGTCCAAAGTCAAAATGTGGAACGTCCTTTGATGTTTCACAGCTGTATGGTATAAGGAATAATGAATACACAATTCCATACAAATAAATGTTCCAAAATATTCAGAATACAGAAATTAAGTTCTGTTAAATCATGGAAATGATGTTATTTATAGAATCTCTGATTTCCAGTTCAATTTTTTCTGTAGTCAATGTAAAACAAATCGGACCACACAATGTTTAATTTATACAATGGTTTTAATACCAGAACAACTTTTTAATGGTAATCCAACGCACAATGGCGACAATAAAATAAACATTTATTATTAAGAACTATGTTCTCTATATTTCAGTATGTTCTGTGGGTGCTAGCCATAGCAGATATTACCACTATAATTCTTACTACTATTATTATTATGAGGGATATGACGGGTAAGATATCTGATGTTAAGTATAGGTTTTATTTCTAACCCCAGAAGAGGTAACTCAGTGGTTCTTGTTTAAATCATATTTCCCTCTGTACGTTGGCCTCGCAGAATATGAATTACACCTCCAAAAATGCAAGAAGTTTCAAACACAGCCGATAATGCCTGATGAAATTCTGATAAAACAAATATGAAAACCTATTTAGGAGTATATTGATGTTACGAATTTTTAGAATATATAAGAAAAACATATATATTGAGTGATCTAAAGGATATAATAATCACCTATACAGTTTTTTTTTAAGTTGTACTTATATAGCTTAAACGATGATCTGAAGTGCTCCCTACCTTCTATCTTGTTATTCATAAGTGACTTTTAAGGGCTACAAAGTATAAGCAATTTAGTGATATTTATAATTTCGATGAAATTTAACATGCATTAAACTGCATCTGATCATCGAAGAAATTATGTATGTAGCATATATTTGTGTGTGAAATTGATCTATAAATGTATAGAATTGACGTAGACATCGTCGTAAGTAAGCTTTTTTAAAATCATAAATCCTAAAAAAAAAATCTGTCCAATTACGTATTTGTCCTCTGAATCAAGCCATGACTAAAACCGTAATTATAATTATAATCATTTGAAGAGATTCCCCCCGGTCAATAAACAAGGACATGGAATTCCTGAATTTACGTAGGACTGTATTACACCTGTAATCCCCTTTCTTATTCGATATTTATTTTTTATTTTGACCGGATAATCATTTTATTTTCCACATCAGAGTTGTTGTAAATTATTCTTTATACAGCCTCTTCACCTAATTTTGAAAGACTGCATGGTAACAGTTTTAACAGATTACAAAACCTAAACAAAATTTTCCTATATAATAAACTTACATAACCATATAAAGTGAAAATACATTATGGTATTATAAAGTTAAGCATTTCATTACAATTGTATTTATTTTGGCACAGAACTTTATTATTATAAAAGTTGATATAGTTATTATATAATATGCATAGTTCTGACATGTAACTAGATACAGAACTTCCAGTTGTCATCTAAATGTGGTGACAGGCGACCACTTGATTTTCAGAAGATTACTAGTATATATACGCGTGGAAGAAATATATTATGATTTTAACAAGGCTGTCAATATAAAATAAATTTTAAGCGTATTTGTAATGGAAGTAAATAATTTGGAAATGGATATCAAAATTTGTCTTTTTCGATTGAAAAATATATGTCACACAATGTAAAAATAACTCTGCTTGCAGATTTTCAACCATCGCAAACAACAACATTTTTCATAACAAAACTATATGTGTATAAGGATAATGTACATAGTTTTTTACTTGTAAATTTTGATTTTGTGTGAATAAAAAAAATGTCAAGTCTTTGTAAAATGCTCGAAGCACAACGTCATATTTTAAAATGTTTCGAAAGAAAGCATATATAAACACTGCATACTCTAATTTCACTCTTTGTGTAGAGATATTCACTCTTTGTGCAGAAATATTAATAGGACTTGCCAGTTGGCACACATAAGCGTAAATTTGCATTTAAAAATATTCAGTACAAATTTCATAATGTGCGTTTCAAATTACTTCTTATTACTACGGAAGCCGATAAGGATCATTCAAAAAAAAATTATGTCGTAATTACGACATAGTATGTCGTAATAACGACATATTATGTGGAAATAACGACATCGCTATGTCGTAATAACGACATATTATGTGGAAATAACGACATCGCTATGTCGTAATAACGACATATTATGTGGAAATAACGACATTGCTATATCGTAATTACGACATATCATCTATATCATCTATAACAACAACCTTAACATTGCTACTTTGTGAGCATCGAAACACTATGGGAAACAACATTTTCATCTTTATTTTAAGAACTACTTATCAGAATTGAATCAAACTTGATATACGTGTGCACTAAAAGTCCTATTCAAGTGTTATTTCTTAGTTACACATTGGTTAAAACACATGACCGCCAAGGGACTTTGAAAAAATCAATGTTCAAAATCTGCTTCTCAAGATCGCTGAATGACTGAGCTTAAACTTAGTATAAATATACAATGTGTAAATAGTATCCAGGTCCTTAAAAAGAGTTTTTACGTTTTGAGCTGAGCCGAAGTTAAAAATGGCCGCCAGTGAGGGCAAAGTTTGTATCAAAACCCTATCGTAAACATATTCATTTTTGAGAATGATAAACACTGAATTTAATCAAGCTTAATTAATATTAAAGTTAGTTACGCTATATGTCTGCACATAATAGAACTTTATTTCATAATCAAGTCTAATGGGACATATTGAAATGGTGAATGATTCAGGCTTGTTGGAGCATCTATATTTATATTTGGCATTTATGTAGATCACATCAAGAAGATGTGTTAAGTACCAGAAGGATTATGTGTGCTATTGCAATCGCTTGTCGTCCGTCGTCGTCTGTATTTACCGTTAAATTTTTATTGAAGATTACAAAAATCACAAAATGTTGATAAAAGTTTAGCCGCCGTCGCCGCAAAATCAATTCCTAAAGTTTCGCTATTTATGACGTTCGTCGCAGGCGAGGTAAAAATCTGCTATTTCGCTATGTGGTCTTTTTGTATAGTATTGTGGAAATAATTGCATACAGTTCGAGATTGCATGTGAGTTACGTAAGCGCTTAACTGTTTTTTATATCCTGTGGTGTTTGTCGTTGATGAAATATGTTCGCTGTTGTTCTGCAGTTTACATGTTTTGCGACTATTACTACACTGTAGTATATTATATGTTTGTGCGTATCTCTGTGATATATGGTCTTGCGTGTGTTTGATCTGTATTTCTGTCACGTAGTGTTATCATTTCAGCGCCATTTTTAACATTGTCATAAAGCGGGAGGTTTGGCTAGCCATTAAACCAAATTCAACCCACCATTTGTTCTTAAAATGGCCTGTACCAATTCAGGAATATGACAGTTGTTATCAAATAGTTCTTTCTATGTATGTTAAGGGTTTATTTTTGTTCACTTTAGTGTTCCTGTTGTTCGTTTATTTTCCTCTTACAGTTGATATGTTTCCCTCGGTTTTAGTTTGTAGCCCGGATTTGTTTTCTCTCAATCGATTAATGACCTTTGAACACCGGTATATTACTGTTGCCTTTATTTAGTAACAGTGTCCATGCTGTTGGTTGCCGGTCAAAATCGACGGACTTCAAGTGATGCCAATACATGTAGATATCCCCAAAAAATGTTTTAGAGGACACAACTTAGATATGGGTCAAACTGATCTTTCTGAAATTTTCGGCATAGGTCCATTTTGTCACGATGAACCCTCAAAAGATTTGAGATAAATGTAACGATATTCGAGACATTATCAAAAAACTAATGTGTGACCATTATGTCCTATATTTTCAAGTTAATAACAGCGGCTGTGTTTTAAGGAGTCAAAAATCAAAGCACTCCAATGGAAAAAGCTTTGAAAATCTTCTCATTAAGAACTACAGGCCATATTGGATCAATCTTAGAGAATGGATGATCCTTATATGATGATGATTAAATATAAAAAAAGAAAGATGTGGTATGATTGCCACAAGAAACCAAATGCCACAGAAATTAACAACTATAGGTCACCGTACAGCCTTCAACAATGAGCAAAACCCATGCCACATAGTCAGCTATAAAAGGCTCCCAAATAAGAAATGTAAAACAGTTCAAACGAGAAAACTAACGGCCTAATTTATGTACAAAAAATAAACGAAAAAACAAATGTGTAACACATCAACAAGCAACAACTACTGAATTACAGGCTCCTGACTTGGGACAGGCACATACATACAGAATGTTAAACATGTTAGCGGGAACCTAACCCTCCCCTAAGTTTGTAGGAATAGTTGTCCTGGGAACATTGGTTTAAAGAACTTGGGGTCCAAAGTTTAATACAGACTTCAATGGGGAGGACGCTGTAAGAATCTCATAAAGAACCAACAGTAGCAATGCAGTTATAATTTGCATCAAGCATCAGTAGGCCATTGTGTACAAATGAAGGTACAGAGGTCCATGGGTCTGAGGACTAGGAGTCCAAAGTTTAACAGTCTTTATTTGGAAAAGCTTAAAATTCATCTTCTTCAGAATCTGCAATGGAAATGCAGTCATATTTTACACGAATCTGTACATGCCAAACATAACTAGAGGCTCCAAGAAGCCCGAATCGCTCCCCTGTGCAACTGGGTCTCATTTGACTTGATTATAAAATAAAGTTCAAGTATGTGCAAGTAAATAACTTTAATTAAGCTTGATTGCATTTAGTGTTCGTTTATTCTCCAAAAAAAGATGAATATGTTTACGCTTCAAACTTTGCTCTCACTGACGACCATTTTGAATTTTCTATTGCCTCAAAAAGTGACAACGCTAAGGTTGTCGTAATTATGACATAGCGAACAGGAGCCTGTAATTCAGTGGTTGTCTTTGTTGCTGTGTAACATATTTGTTTTTTTTCTTCATTTTTTTTTAATAAAGCCGTTAGTTTTCTCATTTGAATTAAATTGTTTAACATTTGTCATTTCGGGGCCTTTTATAGCTGACTATGTGGGGGCTTTTCTCATTTTTGAAGGCATTATGATGACCTATAGTTGTTAATTTCTGTGTCATATAGTCTCTTGGCAATAATAATACATACTATTTTATATATGTATAGCGATGTCGTTATAACGACATAAGGATGTCGTTATTACGACATAGAGATGTCGTAATTATGACATAGTGATGTCGTTATTATGACATGCTATGTCGAAATTACGACATAGTTATGTCGTTATTACGACATGCTTTCTTTGTCGTAATTACGACATATTTTTTTTTTTTGAATGACCCTTATCGGCTTCCGTATATTTCAACATGTGCAAATTAAAAATTAAACGTCCCCAGTTCATACACGATAAGAAGTCTTAGAAGACACGGATTGATATAATGGGTAAATGATTTTACAAATGTATAATTTATAATTTAAAAAAAGTGTTTAACAAGTAAATATTCTGATCTTCTTTACCCGACAAGGCTTCCCATTGCTAGAAATCAATCATCTTGGAATAACACTAAAATGTATTAATGTGATGATTTGTAGAAAACTTGTGCAAAATATTAGCCAATTTGGAAAGTAAAAATGCTGCTTATGTTCCATAAATTTTGTGAAGTGCAATAAACACATACAACGTTAAAAATCTTTTGAGCTAACTTATGCAATAAACAAATTCGCTGGTAATAGATTTAAAGAGAGGAACCGATATCATAAATTGCCATAATTTCGTTTGATAAAAGTAATTGTAACAGAGATAAAGTAGATATATTTTTATATGACTTGTTATATAATCTTATTCAAGTTTGGCCATCTTTGATCTTCAATTACAAATATAAAACCAGGGAAATTGGCCACTGTTCGAAAGAAAAAATTCAAGTAATTTATAAATATTGAGTCTTTTTGTAATTATTACAGTCATGGTAGAAAATTTCAGAACGGTCAAGTCATTTTCGATTTCCCCTCTTTAAACGCGATTGTCTTTCATCAGTGTCTCATTGGCATCAATATAAAAATAAGGAGATGTGGTATGATTGCCAATGAGACAACTTAGTATCCACCAAAGTTCAAATGAAGTGGATGTAAGCAATTACAGGCAACGGTAGGCCTTCAACAATGAGAAAAACCCAAACCGTATAGTTGGTTATAGGCCCCGTTATGAAAAATATGACACAATTCAATTGAGAAAAACTAACGGCATAATTTGTAACAAAACAAAACAATAAACGAAAAACAAATATGACAGAGACGAACCAACGACAACCACTGAACTACAGGCTCCTGACTTGGGACAGGCACATAAAGAATGTGGCGGGGTTAAACATGTTTGTGAGCGCTCAATCCTTCCCCTAACCTGGGACAGTGGTGTAACAGCACAACATAAGAAACTGGGACAGTGGTGTTACAGCACAACATAAGAACAAACTATAAAAATCAGTTGCATAAGACTTAACTCATCGGATCGATACAAAGAAAAACATCAAACAAAAACACAGACAGGACATGACAGGGTATATTTCCATCCCTCATCCCTAACAATAAAAAAGACAATAAGTAAAGATCTGCGAGTACTCGCAGTTGCTGACAGCTAGTTCAAAGCCAATAACAACTAATAAAAAAAATCATGTATCTAAGACTAAAATATCAATCAGTACACATCCAACTTCCAATGGATTTAGTGTAAAGACGTCCTTAACAGTCAGATAAAACATGACCTCGTGCAATGCCAAAATATAGGTATCGACAGATTATTATATCAACCTTATTCTATATAACTCAGACTTGTATTTTTGTTAATTTCAGCTCTGCCAGTATGGTAGCTGGTAGTATTATAGGTGGATTAATTGCTCTGTGTATCATCATAGCTATTGTCATTGTGGTTGTACATGCCTGTAATTGTTGTAAAACACACGGTATACGTGGCCACACGATACGCCAAACACCTATTCCCTCAGTGACTGCAAGAGCACCTTACAACAGTAAGTTTTTTTAAAGTTTGAACCCGAGTGCAAAACTAAAAAAAGGAACTGGAAAAATTGCGTCATTTTGAGATTTAGATACTTGTATGAGCCAAGGGATTGCCCGAAAAGATATTTTGCAATAAGATATCTTATACAACGGTATTAATATGACAAATAAATATTTCTGAGTAATGCCTATGGTCATATCAAATATGTCAAAAATATATGTAGATCACCAAGTTATGTCACCTATTTCTAAATGAGTAGAGGGCAACACGTATTTTTTTTACACTTTCTCTTGCAACAAAATATGTTTTGTTGGCCAGGCCATGGCTCATATTTACACATTATTGATAAGATTTTTAAAGTAAGGCTATTTTTACAGTCTTTTCGGTCTCGAATTAAAGGCAAGAAGTTTGAATTCCGAATGCAAACAAGTAAGACAATATTAAATCAAAGTACTGAAGTACTGAACATCGGATGACCGCAAGTTCTTGTGGATGGTCAAAAGCACTTGTCACAGAAAAAAATCACATCTCTATACCTGAAACTGAGGTTAATGTACAGAGATATATTTTTTCTGAGACAAGTTCGTGCGTGGATGATGAATAAATGACAGGAAATTCAACCTCACCGTAATAACTATTATATTGTAGTGATACAAATCAGTATACACTGGTTTGTTGTTATATATTATATTAATATAACAGTTACATATATATATAATTTTCATCCATTTGTAAATCATTCTATTATACTATTCTAATAAAATGCAGTGCAAGTGCATGGTGGACACTCTTCTGTAAAAATTCGATTTTTCTAAAAGATTGGATATGAGTAGGCATTCATATTTTCCCGCAAAAACAATTACAGAGTTACCGGTCCTTGCCGGGATTGTCGCAAAACGTTCTTGAGATATTCTTCCGCATGCTTTAACACAATTTTTCGGTACGTGTGCATAGATATTATCAATGATTTTTTACTTATATATATATATATCTAACGACAAAACATTTTCATATTATTAATTTATGTTCTAAACAAAAATATTTTTTTCAGTATTCATTGAAGAGATGTATTTATAACAAACGATAAGGAATGTTAGTTTGCACTCGTTAATATCCGCGTATTTATCATGTTTATAGATCGGTTACAAACCCTAAAACGAAAGTTACGTAATGGAAATCTAGGCGATAGCATTACATCGGAATGCCCTCACGGTCATCGCGATGTAAAAATCTGACAGATATGATCATGTCTTGTGAACATTCGGAGGAATGTTATTTGATAGATTTATTCTACTTTTTAATCTTCGAACAAACGGGATCAAAAAGAGGCCTTTTCATACCAATACATCTAGAAACAATTTTTAACAGTTATGAAATTTTTAACATTCTTATTTAAATAAGGATGCAATCTTGATCGCGTTTGCCTGTCTCAAAATCTGAATAGGTGTTTCATGAACCACCTAAGATACTGCATGTTATTCAGCGAATTATTGCGAATTAGAACCAGTCTTTCTTTTTTCCATCGAAGAAGCGACGAAATAATTAACCGAATTTTATACCAGTCTTTTTTTACTTTGACAGGTTTTATTGTTGACTTAATTTTTAAGAATTCTATATCTGAGGAATTAATGTTGTACAAATGTAAAATAATCTGTAAGGAGCGTATCACACATGTTTTTCTCATTTGGGAACTTGTATCCGAAAAGTGCAGTAGAAGTTCCTAACGAATATTATCGAGTTAAAGAATGAGTTGCAAAAAAAATCTTTTGGATAATTTTGTAGTTATATTGATATAAATGTATATTATTTTTTTTTTTCGTTTTTAGCACCTCATCACAATAACTGGTCATATTTACCACCGTCAGCGCCTCCGTATCAACCATTAACGACAAAGCCACCACAGTATACAAGTAGTGATATAAATCCTCCTCCAGCGTATGAAAACATTAGTGTATCATCGCCGCCATTAAATACTACATTTCAAGGAATATCGTCACCAGCATCACCAGCTCCGCCATACAGTGAAATAAGGTCATGAGGATCACCAGCTCCGCCATACAATGAAATAAGGTCATGATATGGTGGATATAGAAGCACAAACCTGGAATTTGTCCTGTAACTTATTACATGTATATATACATTAATCAAAAGTTAATGCACATGATTGGAAACAAAATCAGCTTCATCTTATTGTTTTTACACGCATATGATATATTTGACAATCATTTTAAGCATCAAATGTGGAAATTCTTCTTCAGTATAGAGATTGTTATGTAAATTAATTCCACTTAGATATTCCCGGGAAATCATCAGATATTTCTGACACTACTACAAGTTGAATTATATATCTTGTGTGTGTGTGTGTGTGTGTATACAACCTAATAGTATGATCTGACACAGATCATAATTCTGTTCATGCAGTAGAGAATACCTAGCTTAGAATTTTGTGTAGAAATGATGTTATTGATTTAAGAATTTCCGTTTTAATTACATGAAAAATAGGGGTTCACTGGCTACCTTTTTTTATCTAAATCTTGTGAATTTGAGTGATGTACACACAAAAAAGTACATGAAAAATTACGATTTTGCTGAGTGACGCCGTCACTGCGTAACGTTTATTTTGTCATTTGAAGCTTTTTTAACTCTGCTTTCCGATTTTATATGATTATTATTGAACAGAAATGAATAGTGTGACCTTTGTACAAATGTTAAATATAAAAATGAATGAATATCGATTCCATCATGAAAACCCACGTCGAATGCAGCATTTTAATCTTAAATTCAAGGAACTTAATGCAAACCGACAGTTTGGAAAACACCATGGTTTATCAAGCCTGTTTTACTTTAAGCATTGATCAAGTTGCTTTTCTATTGGTGCTGAGTAAGGATATATTAGAATCGTGCTTTGCATTAAGATTTTTATTATAACTATCAATTCATTTATATGTAGTGACACGAATAGTTCTCTTGTGAATATCTGATGAGAGAAGACAAATTAGATCACCATCCTCATCCTTATCATCTCCATCTTCATCATCATGTAACTGCTGGCAGTTACTTTTATATGTTATAAATACAAACCCTGCTATGCAGGTACAATTTTATGAGGATTTGCCAATGTTACAGCGTTGTTTTAAGATTGTTTGTTTATTAACATGTTTTGATTGACATTTCACATAGTGCCTTCCAATTTGATTAAAATCAATATCTTCATTTGTACCCGTTTACTGATGTAACCAACCTTACTATACGTAAGCAAATGAAACTCCGGTTTTAACTAGAATTGGTGCTTTTTGTTATCTTCGAAAATAATATCAAACTTATTCAGAGGGATGATTAATTTTGTGAATAGGAGTATAACATGTACATGCATTATACAAATTAACAGAAATATTATCATAAATTCATTGTGTTTTAAAAATATATTATGCTATTGGTTTGCTTTAAAGCATTGTTAAGTCAATAAAAATCAAATGATCACCGAGTGTTTTTTTTGGTCAAATGTTGAAATTGTTCACATAACACACAAACAGGCTCATAAAGTGTTGCAATTTCTAGAAACAACTATTGCAAACTTTTGAATATTTACATTGTTAAGAATCAATGTTTCACAGGAGTTAAAATACCAAAGTAACTTTGATTCAGCATATGCACATTTGTAAATGAAAACTAATGAAGTTTGAATGTTTAAGAGCCTATATGAATAAACTTTTAAGACCCCCTAAAAAGCAAACAACAAAAACAAAAGCAAAAAAAAAAAAAAAACACACAAAAAAAAAAACCCCACAAAAAACACAAAAAAACCAATGCAAACACACGCATTTTATTTAAGCAATGCAATGCTTCTATAATAGAAAAAAATATGAAAACAAGACTATAAATTTCATGCGTCGGAAGCGCTTTTCTGGATTTACCTTATCAAACACGTTCAAAGTCGAACATTTGAAAGCTAAAGAACCGAAATAGTTTAAGATCTATATCACCAACAAGAACCTAAAAATAATAGCCATATACATCAAAGGTCAATTTTGCCCGAGGGAGTTAAAACCTTAGTTTCTTAATAATTTTTAAATTTATAAACGAACAATTTAAGAAAGGTTTGTTATAAATCAGAATTAGTCTTTGAAGGATACCAGGAACCAAAATAACCTAGTATTTGAAAGACAATTCATCGATATTCCTCCAATTCAGTTTGAGATAAATATTTCTTAACTGATTTTTATTTTGAATATTTCAACATGCCTTTTGTTGAACTACTGATCGCGATAAATGGGGGAGCTTTGAGTTATCCTAAAACTAATATCAAGCCCACTAGAAGCCAATGTGCCAGTGCCAAGTATTCTTATCAGTGGATGTGATTGTTTAGATCTTATTTCTTCCTTTGCTATTATGTTGTATTGACCCTATTTACGACTTTATTTCTTCTTTGCTGCGCTGCTAAAACTCACCAAAGATACCAGGCTTATAATTTGATACGTCTACATAGACTCATCAGTGGCTCTCAAATCAAATAGATAAAATGCCAAACAAATACGAAGTTAAAGAGCAATGAAAAAAAAACATTGTTAACTGTTAAAACAATTTGAAGAATGGAATTATATACGATGTTTAATATGGTCATTGATAAAGGACTAGTTCGATCCGATGTTAACGGAACCAAGATCTGATGTTTGCAAATATATATAAGTTTATAAATTAGCCGAACCAGGAAGTTAGGACAGTAGAATGGCATGGAAAAATTTATGAATGACAAAATCTTAACGACATTTTAAACTTTTTTTATTGATATGTGCGACAATACCAATATACTCAGTAAGGTATACAGTCAATCGTACTTGACCGAAAACGTTATTGAATGTTTACAACAGGTAACTATGTACATGTATCTGTAATTTATGCCGGACGGATCTGTCTATGCTGCTCAAATTACCCCATTAACTATTAACGTTCATGGCAAATCATATGTTAAGATGAATTTTCTATAACGATAGAAACAGTGGGAACACAGAAAAGTTTTCAGCAACAGTACATAAACGAAACGTTTGATGCTTTTACTGTTAGTTGTAGAGTTGTAAGAAACAAAATGAAAGGCACATTAACTGTTCTACTTCCATATCTTGTTATCCGGAGATGGGTCTATCTTATTAGAGGTGAAAAATTTTGTCCTGCCTTTTTTTTTAGTTGTAATCTCTGTCCTGCCATTTTTTTTATTAGTTTACCCTGTCTTTTTTTTACATAAATTGTCATCCTGCCTTTTTTTTTAGCAAAGTTGTTCATCCAGCCTTTTTTTTTATACTCAAAACTCCTGTCCTGCCTTTTTTTTTCAAATTTCATCCTAGTCCTCCCCCCCCCCCCTAAAAATCAAATGGTAGCTCCCTTACAACATTTTGTCCAAAATGAACGTGTTTACACCACACACTATACTCGAGTAGTCAGTACAGACAAACCTGTATAATTGGAAAAGATTTGAAGACATGGCTAGAGAAAGATAAATAATGACTAGACATTATATTATATCTAGGGCCAACCATGCCCTAAACCTTCTCCTGGTGCACAGTTTTGTCTATACTTAGAATACAATTTGTGGTTTAAACAGTAAACACGGTCTTTTTGTCAAAATGTTTTGATGAACTTTTTTTATTATATATTCTATAATTATAACATTTTTGAACATACAGAGATAAATTTAGTAAGTGTACACAGTGGCGGATCCAGAAATTTTCATAAAAGGTGGGGGTGGGGGCACTGACTGCCATAAGAGGGGGCCCGCTTAGTCGTGCTTCAGTGATTCCCTAAATAGTCAACCAAATTTTTCACACAAAAGAGGGAGCCGGGCACCCTTCCCCCCTAAACCCGCCTCTGGTACATTTAACACCTCATTAACATACCATATTTAAATACCATTCAAAATTACAAAGATGGCCGTCAGTCTGACATGTGTATGATTAGCATATCAATGGTATAATACTATAACATTTTTTAGAGACATTTAAAAAAAAAAAATTTATCCGTGTAAACCCTTCGTACACTATATGAAGGTCTGGATGGGGTCCTTCAGTTCTTTATTCTTTTTAAAATATGTAATACCATTTTCTATCTATTCTTTATTTTTTGGCCTAATTTTCTCTATTCTTAATTCTGCACATTTTACCCATTATTCTATATCCTGTAAACCCCATTAGGCATCCATACCTTCCTAAACGTTAATATTTTTTCTAAGAGTTATCTCACCTTGTTTCACTAGTCTTAGTACATCATTTTAAAAATGATCTCATAAAAACTGTATTTGTAACAAAGAGAGTTATATTAAAGAAATGCAAGCAACTGAAACAATAATAATTGAAAACAAATATGTTATTTGTCTGGTGCAATCTGTCTGATAATCATAAAGATTTATACATAATTGATTTGATTTTCATTTGCCGTTGCTTGTAGAACAAACAATATTTTTTTATAAACAATTGAACGACAAGACAAGAAGTTGTTACATTTAATAAGAAAGGGGCAGCAAAAATATATCATTTGATTTATTTAAGCACGAAAAAGCATCGTCTTGTTATAGTGATTGTATCCCTTTTTTTTTATTATTTTATAAGATTCTATATTTCGATATTTTTTAGGTAGATTGTGATCATTCTATGAAATGATAAATGGAAATGCTAGTATATGCATAATCATATATGCTTATACATATAAATGAAATCCAAAGAAATAAAAAAAAAAAAAAACAATGGCATCATCAGCTGCAATTTTTTGCACCCTCTGCTAAGATGATAGTATATCCAGTGAAGCAGCGTCATGGTGCACAGAATGTAAGATCTTTTTATGTATCGATTGTGAAATACATTACAGAAGCCAAGAGCACACATCAATGTCAGTTGAAGATTACAATAAATTGCCCACGTTTTTGAAAGAAACAACCAGTTATTGTAAAGATCATGATAAAATTTATGAAGTTTACTGTCCCATACACGCATGTGCTTGCTGTGTTTAGTTCATTACCAATGAACACCTAAAATGTCAAAATCTAAAACCCTTATCAATTATTTCACAACAAATTAAATCATCTGCTTCCGTTGAACACATTGAAAGAAACTTAAAAGATCTTAAAGAAAACTTTGGCGAAGTTATTGAATTCCTGAATGGCAGGCTAAATACAAATAGAATCGAGAAAGCTAAAGCTATTGAGAAAATCCGGTCCATTCGTAGGTCGATAGATGATTACCTAAACGGATTAAAAGAAGACATTTTAGATGACTTAGAATCAAAGTATTCAGAACTAAAAGCCAAAATAGAGACAATAGTACAACAAGTGCAGAAAAGGGACGGTTTGATAGACCAGTTGCAGGATGAATTCTTCAAAATGACACAATTTGCTTCCGAACTCCAAACATATGTTGGTCTGAAAGTAATTTAAAAAAAAAAGATCACAAGAAGAAAAGTATCTAGCTGATCTACACAATGGAGATCGATTAGATGAAAATAATTTGCAAGTTACCATATTACCAAATATAAATTCAATCCTGCAGGACGTAAAATCGTTTGGAAATATTTCTGTTGTAATGTTGAAGATAGGAAAAAGAGATCAAGCACAGGTTTTAGTACCAAAGGTTACAAATGATAAAATAAAACCATCATGCCTGAAAACATTGCAAATGCCAGATCTTAGCATGCTAAAAGTTAAAAGATTTCTTATACGTGTGTTTGTCATATTATCTGATGATAGAATATTACTTCTAGAAGCAGAAACAAAAATGGTTATGTTGTATAATACAAATGGCACCTATTCAAGAAATGTAGTTCATTCGAAGAATACACCGAAAGTATGTGCCTCGTGAAAGATGATACAGTTGTAGTCAGCTTATTTATGGCCAAAAAGATCGCAATTGTTGATACAGAAAGAAATGTTGTTCTTAAAATAATTAAACTTGATTACTCCTGCTATGGAACATCATCTGAGGGGGATCAAATTTTAGTTTCCTCTAGGGAACATATTATTATTCTCAGCCTTAAAGATTTATCTCAACAAATATTGGAAGGAATTGAATCGTACACTTTTAATGTACTGTATAAAGATAATATCTACTGTACCAGCTGGAAGAAAAACCATATATCTTGCTTTAACATGACAGGAGAACGACTGTTGACATTTACCCATCCAGACATCGACCAGCCTCTTGGAATCACACCAGATAAAGACGGAATACTTTTTATTGCGTCCTCTGAAAATGACAAAATCGTAGCGTTGTCACCAGATGGTAAAACTTGTAGAACAATTTTGTGCAATCATGATGGAATTAATCCCCCAGCAGGGATTCATATTAACAGAGACAAGGGGTTGATGTTAGTTTCAACAAGAGATAGTAATGGTAGTGATAGTGGAATTATTTTTAGAATTTGAAATGTAAACAATGTTTTCAAAATATCAAGAGAAACCTTTTTTAACTTTGAAATTCATTCACAGATGACATATTACTGACTTTGTGATCGCGTATAATTATAAACTCATCATAGATACCAGGATTAACATTTTGTACGCAAGACGCGCGTTTCGTCTACAAAAGACTCATCAGTGACGCTCGAATAAAAAAAGTTTAAAATGCCAAATAAAGTAGTTGAAGAGCATTGAGTCCCCAAAATTCCGAAAAGTTTTGCCAAATACAGCTAAGTAAATCTATTCCTGGGGTAGATCATCCTTAGTACTTCGAAAAAACCCAACATAAATAGCTTTGAAAACAGTTGATTTATAATTATGACCATATCAATGACAATTCATGTCAACACAAAGTGCTGGCTACTGGGCTGATGCGTATTTAGTTATAAAGAATTAAGCACAATTTCTCCAAGAAAATTCCATTAGTTTTTTTCGTACTTCTTATGTAAACTCGAGAAAGAGAAAGAGGCGTGATCAGTAAAGCGTTTAAACATTCGGGGATTTTCACACCAAGCTCAGACATCAACCATAGTACCTACAATGAAAGAAGATGTCTAAAACACGTATCATTTATAAATTTGGGAAGCTTAACATATTTAAACAGGAGTATTACTACGGGTGTTTCTTTTGGAGCAAAACTGCCCCTCCTTGAGGCTCACATTAGTCCAGCCTTCCGTTTGTGGGGTCCGTGTTGCTCAATCTTAAATTATCTGTGGCGGTGATTGTTGAAACTATTTGTCTATTCGTCATTTTCATTTTGGTCATACGGTATAGTCCTTTTTCCACCTATGGTTTTGATTTCTTCTCAAAATCTTTTCCCTCTTTTGCCATTTGATAAGGGACATTCCGATTTGAATTTTCCTTGGAGTTCGGTATTTTTGTTATTTTACTTTTTAATGATGAAACATAGACGTTAAAATAAAAATACACAACCGTTTATCCTCAATTTTGTATGTAGAAGTTTGAACATTAATGCTCATAACATTGAAACAAAGCTACCTTCATGTAAAGGATCATGATTAGATTATGATATAAAAGAAATGGTAAAGTAATCGCTAATTAGACAGTATTTCAACCACATCAAGTGATAGAAAAAAAGATATAAAAGGACAGAATAAATCAATTAATAAATTTTGCAAAAAATCAGCAGACAAAAATATCAATATCAACACCAACTAACGTTTTTCATGGAATGGCATTCAACTAATGTCAATACAATTACCTCCGTTTGAATGCATATATATTTATAACTTGAAGATTTAAAAAAAATGTTATAGTGCAAATTTTACTCAATGTCAGTACATTAATCTGTATGAAAAAGACTTTTTAGGAATCTTAATAGATATTTTTGCATTACTTTTTTCTCAAAATCAACACCACACTTGACTATACAACTCATTTATCTAAAACTCACGGCTAACATCTTATATTATACGATTTTCTATTATGTATATATAAAGGTACAAGCCCTGTGTGTCCGTTGTACCGATGTGTATCATATGTTCATTGATATATATGAAAAAGATATTTAAATTGCAACCCATTGGTAGCCGAGAGGTTTCATCGATGTATTGATGTCAGTCATACATAACAGACGTCAAGGTGTGGTTCGATTCCCAGTGAAGGCATATAAAAGTTACAAAAGATAAAGATAAGTTTTTGAATTAATTCCATTAATGAACAAAAATCAGTAAATTAGCCAATTCAAACAATGAAATTAAGCACACAAAGGAAACAATTGAATATAATTTAGTGAGTCCATTTCAGCGACAGCTTTAAGAAGCGTTTGTAGAAAAAGAAACCACGGTAAATAAATAGCCGATTTATCACATCTTAGCCTCAATGGTATATTTTCCAAAAGTCTTCCTTTCCCTACCAACAAGTGATTTATAATTTTCCCTGAAGTTCCATATTCAGTGTTTTGTTGTTTAGCATCACATTATAGCTTCTTTTACTCTCTTCCAGAAGTCTACGTTTCCTCTTCCATCGTTACGATACAAAATATAAGACCTTTGTCGTATTTGCTCTTGTATGACTAATGGTAAATCTCGAGGCATAATTTGTTCGTAGAAAACTAGAATCAGGACGTTCTGCTCTTCTCTTTCATAAATTCCTTCCGTCAATGCCATGTTGTACTCAAACATACAGTAGTATGACTGGAAAAATGATTTACTTATTATACAAATGGTCTTTTTACTTTCGTGAATCGCGTTTGTAATATTTGCAGTTATTTCCTCACCTGGTAGAAAATCGCGATGATGTATGCACAGTTTCAACTCCCCATCACCCTCCAGATTTTGAATACAATCATTTAGAACAAAATCCCTATCATTTTTTGAATATGCGATAAATGCATTGAACTTGTACTTTTCTACTGATTGCTCATTACTGAATATTCTCCTTTTTCTGTAATACATATAAAGTAATCTCCAACGGTATTTGAATACGAGTCTTGCTCCTTGAATAGCAAAAGCCAATAAAATAATGATAGAAAGAGAGGCGGCAAGGAGATTGTATGACATACAGTTTATTTGCAAACTGAAAATGATATCTCTTAACTGTAAGAGTTCCGTAACGGAGCCATCGTCAAATTCACATTCATAATTTTCACTATTTACCAGGTGATTAGAATTATTACATATCCATACCAGAAACAAAATTCCTTTACACTTACACTCAAAGATATTGTTCGATAAATTCAGTTTTAATCCGTAACTGTGCATCAATTCACTGAAATTGCTCATAATAGTCGGATCGAGAAAGCTTATGTTAGTACTGGACAAATCCAAAATTGTAGAATAATTTATATAAGAAACGTCAAATGATATATCTAATATATTGTTATAGCTCAGGTTGATAAACTTTAAATTAATTTGTTGCCGGAATGTAGAAAAACTAAAATGTTCAATTCTGTTGAAAGATAAATCTATTCTTCTTAGGTTGCACAGATTCTGCTCTAAGAATGGACCAAGAAAAATGTTGCGTAGACTCAGAACTGTAACGTTTCGGAGATTGACACAAAATTGTCTTAATTTGTTGTTTGAGAGATCTAAAATCTCAAGTGTAGAAGGGAGACAGAATTCTACTGGTTCACCTCGATTTATTATTTTTCTGAGGTTGTTATTGTTTATGTACAACTCTCTCAAACCTGAATGAATCAAATATGTGTAATGAAATGCACTCTCTAATGAAAACGTACTGTGTTTCATAACTAAAATGGTCAAATTTGTTGAGTTTAAATCATGTATAACATTTTGATCATAAGTGAAAAGTTTCCAGCCCTTGCCTGGCATACTTAAAAAAGTCAGATTCTTCTTGTACAATGTCCCTTTTTGATAATTGCTTATAGTACATGAAGACATATCTATATAATGAAGATACGGTAAATAAGTGAATGTATTATTCATAGTGTTCATTGTACAATTACCAACCACCAGTCTCTGCAGTCTCTTTAATGACATGAAGACTTCAGGAAACACCATAGAATCTTGAGATTCAAAAACATCAAGCTCGAGGTCAGTTAGCTCTGCAAGGTCTGAAAGGACACTGCTTGGAAAGTTTTCACTATTTGAAGGGTCATTGAATTTTATGTTTAAGTAGTTGAGTGATTTCAACGGTTTGAAAATGCCTAATGGAAACGAAACAGTGTTGTATTTCAAAGCATTGTTTTGAAGAATCAATTTCTTCAAACTACAAAGACCTGCAAAAGCACCTGGTTCAATCCGTGATAACTTGTTATACGAAATATCTAATTCAGACAACTGAGAAAGATTTCCTAATACCCCGCTGGAAATAATTTCTATAGAATTGAACTGAAGATTGAGAAAAGTCACATCGTACTGCAATACTGGAATTTTCGACATATAACTAAACGAGCAATCCACATTTAACTTTTTTCTACCAACTCTCAAACAGTTACAGCGTTCTTCTTCTTGACCAGGTAATTTCATCTTGTTTTCACAAACCGCTAAGCTGATGGTAAATGCCAGGAGTGTTAAAACTTGATACATTATCTGCATAGTTGTCGTACCTGTGAAAATGTATATAATAGTATATATTGTTTAATCGGAATCAAAATGATATATATAAAACAACAACAAAAATGTTTATGAAAAAGGAAATAAGCAAATATAAAAATCACAAACACCAAAACCATAAAAAATCTTTAAAGAAAGGACAAAGCTCATAGCAGCAATTTTTAACAGATATCAATCCATCAAAAATAGACTACATTTGATGATCCGGTGGAAAACATATAAATAAGATCGGTAAAATGCACCAAATTAAAATTGTTCAAAATGTGTTACATTTTTTATTAGTTTGTTGAAAAATCATTAAAAGTTAATTACTGATATATTTACCCTTAAATGTTTCCTGGTTAAGGCATCAAATCCGGAAATGTGTCTGTATCGATTTGGGACACAACGCAAATGATGTATAAGTATTTAAATACGTCGGGAGCTATATGATAAAATAGATTAAAAAGGAATACTAGTATCCAAATCCATCTGAGGTCAACTTCGCCTGAAGGAGTTCAAATCTTAGTTTCCTATTAATGTCTAAATATAACAACGGAGAATTTAGATAAGGTATGTTATAAATATTGTCAATACCGAAACACTTCGTACTGAGTTCATTATACCTCTGGAGTCTAACAGTCCACCAGCAGCGGTATTGACCCAGTGCTCGGAAATGTAAAGAACACTTCATAAAATTGGTACATCCGAAGAGCTTTTCGAAATTAACCTTCATCAGAATCGCTCGAAACTTAAAACTTGAAACCCGAGGCTGTTAATGTATTTGAATACGTCAGGACATATAGACCAAATCCATCTTAGGTCAATTTGTCTTAATCAAATCATTAGTTTCAACGATATAATGATGCTGACTGTAAATATTTCAAAGAGATAAGGTCAGCTTTACACTTATGAACCCGTAGTACAATAGTGCAACTCACTAAAAGGGCATTGTTTATGAAGTCTGTATCAGTATTTCCTGGAAGTTGATTTGTTTTTTATTTTGATATTTCCTCTATTACACTATTCATCAAAGAAATTCATTTCGTCAGAGGATATAAACCCTCATTGTTTTTTTTTTCAATTCAATTAACAGACTTATGTGGACATTTTAACATAATTTCCTGAAAGCATACCAATCGGAGAATTGCAATTCTGAATTGCTTTAATATATAAATAGAAAAGGAGATAAATTACATTTAAAAGAACTCATCTAAGATACAGACTTAAGTTTGTATGACAGACGTGTGTTTCGTCTACAGCACACGCGGCACACGGTTGTCATTCGGTGTATCGAGGAAAATTATTGAGAAAGAATAAGTAACGGTGGTCACGAAGGATCGCGAAGGAAATCTTATCGAGAAGGCACATGCAATCTATTTTATTGAATTACAATACAAACTATAGCAATAAATCGAAGGAAATTTTCCGATTTAAAAAAAATACTTATCTGTCGGTTTCGGTATTTTATGCGAACAAAACTTAAATTATTTGCTGTAATGTATATGTATTTTATAAGGTTAAGGCTGTGTTAAGCAATATTTACAAAATATCATTTTCATACGTACCTATAAAGAAAGGAAACATTACGATTATTCTTGACCATGTTACCTAAATGAAGTTCTTCAACATTTTACACCAAGAGGAGCCAGGATAAATTCTTTAAGAAACATGATTAAGGGTAGAGAAATATGTTTAGCTAACTATTCTCATATTATTATTCACTTGTACTAATGATATAGTTAATAACTCTGTTGACAAGATTATTGTAATTTATACCAACATTTTTTTCACACTATCTTTTCGATGCAATTTTAAGAAAAATAGAGAGGAGAAGCATATGACTTTTATTTGATATCTTGTTAGATATATGTAAATGGTTTTAGAAAAGGTATTACTCCAAGGGATTCAAACTCTACTTACTGCCAAATTTTTTTTTGGGAAAATATATTACATCTTCACTTCCTTTTTGCAATATCATATTGTATAGCAAATAAATGCAGATTGTTGTCCTGGATACATAAAAACATATTTTTCACCTAATGGAAATCAAATATATGAATCAAACTATAAGCCTAATTTGTTAGAAAGCGAGGAAAAGTGGATGGTAAAATTTATGAGATTAATTTTTCCTTATTGTATATTGCTACCTTGGTAAATACATTTGTACACAATCGGTGCTGAGTCTCATTTGGTGATGTCATAATCTTAGAAAATAAAACGGGATTGTGATAACGGCAGGTGGAAAATATCCGTGGTCATCTGTGAAACAGCTATTCAACAAAGTCTTTGACTGACATTCAAAACAGACATCAAAGTTTCCGCATAAAAACTGAAAATATTTCATGTAATGATTTTTCAATAGCGTTTTCGTAAATCACAAAGACAGTTGAAATTCTGTGTTGTCTATTTCTGTATGTATAAGAAAACATTTACCTCAATCGTTGTACAAGGAAAGGTCGATGACATAATTTTAATTGAATGAAGTTATCAGTTAAATGGTTTTGCAAAAAAAAATCATCAAAGAGACCAGGCTTATAATTTTGTACGACAGACATTTTAGAGTAAATTGGGCTATAGCTTTAGTCTTTCTCTTTTTGGTTTTAAGTAAACAATCACCAAGAATACTCGATATTTGCCTAAAATTATCAGACTAGGAAATGTTACTATTGAAACCCGTAGCGTTTCCTATGTGGGAGAAATATATATCATTTAGAGAGAAGGGGACAGTGAATTTTTTTTAAAGAAATCATACGCGTTAAAAAATGTATTTATACACAACATTGATTCTTTTATTTTAAAACATACTTAAACATTCAAATACTTATTCAGCTGTCTTTCTTTTGTCTTAATATATGTATATTATTGTATTAAAAGGTTGCCATTGAAGGGTTTCAAAATGGAAACTTCACATAAACTTTATTACATGTTTACAGTATTTATTTTATATTCAGGTCAGTCAATTTATGAACTATAGTGTGCATAAGAAGAAATTGATAAGGACAGTAATACTGAAATTTATGTTTTATATCTTGTTAAGTGGACAACGTAAAATATCCAGTGTTTGTAATCCAGAAATCCAAATCGAATGTATAAATAACAAAACGATACGCAGAGAATAATTGCAAACGCCAAAATCTAATAAAAAGACTGCAGTACATTATTGTGTTATTACAGGGAACGGTAGATAAGTACTGTTTTCATCGTTTTTTTTTATACGGAAAGTGTTTGACGATTTTAAACGTTCCACATAAGGCCTGACAAGACAAATATTTTATAAATAGAGATAGTATAGTAAGTTAAAAAAGGAAATTGATAAATTTCTTTGTGATAACAATATTGTAAATTTCGTAAAATGTACCAGATAACAAAGTATTGACAACTTTAAAATTAACATATTTACCCCCTACCCCCCCCCCCCCTCCCCCTCCCCCCCACCACCACCACCTTTCCCACACAAACACACACACTCACTCTGAATAAGGGATGTGCTTCTTTTAGTGAGACATAGAAAATATTTCGTAGTATTTGTCAATTTTAACCAAAAACATTCCAACATATCATGCAGCACTATTCAATTTCTAATGAAAGAATTAGCCTAAAGGATTAATTAGAAAAAAAATCTTTTGTTAAAGTTAAACGATGAATGGGCTATTATCATATGCATGTTACTAAAAGCTAATGTAATGAAAACAACTACTAGTACAAGAATACAAAAAAACAAAACAAAATAAAAAATAAACACATTCTAATAATTGCTGTCACTGTACAGTCTCCAATGATAGTCATATATTCCCATCAGTAAAGGTTTTCAAATTTGCCAGGAGTCGTTACAAATTAACATGTACCATTGTTCATTTGACTTTCTTTTGTTCATGTGTGAAGGTATCTATACATAACCTATTGGAGTATTACAGTTCTTCTGATTAGTTAACTACCACAGTGTCGAGTGCTGGTAATGATTGGCTAACCAATCAAATCATAATCTCTCGATATTCAATCATATACATCCTTATAGTTTTACACAAAAAAGAGGAAAGCAGTTTCGACAAATAACAAGAAGTATGAAGAATTATAAGGATTATAGTTTTTTTATAGATTTAATTACAGGTCATACTGCATCTGAAATACAAATGAAAAACAAACTTTCGATGTTCGCATATTCATATCATTCATACATTATATGGCACAAGAATAGTTGATATTCTGTTGAAACGGGCTTGTATATCTCTCATGCAGTTTAGTCCCTCATAACACGTATCTGCACATACCCAATTTTTTGACATTTGGTTACTAGAACATGGACGACATTGAACCTGAAAACAAAACAAAGTATGGTTAGGGAATTTTTATCGGTTAGTATACTACTGTTTTAACATAACTGTATCAGTGATAAGTTAAACAAAAAGTCCAGTAAAAGTCTATTAGATATGGGAATTTTAATAACTTTTATTTTGTTTTACAGTTTTACATTGTGAAGCATCGGATTGTAACTACTACTACTATTCGTACTACGACTGCGATCATACTTTGTAAGTTGTATGAACATTATTGATATTGACATGGACTTCCCCATTTTTGAATTTACCCTTGGAGTTCGGTATTTTTTTAAATACTTTTTTTTGTAATGTTAGAACATCTATAGTTTTACACATTCCATTCACTTCAGTGCACATCAAAATATAGAAATCTGTTAATTCGAATGTCATATGTTGTGGAGATTGTTTTTATTTGTATTATAAACTTTTATTTTTAGCACCAGTTATAAACTTCCGAATTAATTTGAATTCATATTTTCTTTCTTCGATAACCATATACAATGTACGAAATGGGAATCATCTATAAGAAATAGGTGATTGGTGTATAAGAACCAATAAAATAGTGAAACATTGTCGACCAATATTATGATTTTCTTAACATTGCAAAAACACCAATTGTTTCGGGAAAAAAGAATAAGATAGATTTTACTGCCAAACATCTTCCATATCTTTTAAACTTTTTTCAAATGTAAAACATGTAAAATAACAAAAATACCGAACTCCAAAGAAAATTCAAAACGGAAAGTCCTTTATCAAATGGCAATATTCAAAAGCTCAAACATATCAAACGAATGGAAAACAACTGTCATATTGCGGACTTGGTACAGGCATTTCCTAATGTAGAAAATGGTGGATTAAACCTGGTTTAATAGGTAGATAAACCTCTCACTTGTATGGCAGTCATATAGAATTCCATTATATTGACAACAATGTTTGAGCAAAACCAAAGATTACGATTCGTTATGAACATGCATGAAATATGCCTATAGACGTTAAGCAACCAACAATCAATCAATCCAAAGGTTCTGATTTTTCTTACCAATGAAATGTATCTGTTGTGTACCAAAACAGATAGCTGGAATACACATCTATTTAAATTCTGATTAACATAAAAATTGTTAAGGTACCAACATTTATATTATAAATTAAGAATGAACATAAATAATCTGTTAGACCTTTTTGAAACTTGAAGCATATGGCTCAAAGACCTGTAATGATAAAATATGTATATAGCAATAATTAAGCCAGCCAAACATAGACCAAAAAGCGCTTTGTATATTTGAAGGTCTGTTGGTGGGATTGTTGGTATAGTTATCGGTTGCCTCTTGTTCCTGGCAGTAGTGATCGTTATAACCTGTGCTGTTTGTGGTGCTCTGTGTTTCAGTCACCGATCCAACCACCAGGTTGTAACCGTTGTTCCGAGCAACAATGTGTCAATGTTTACAGCACAGCAAGGATATCCTCGTGAGTCTACAATTAACGAAAAATTCGTGGCACTGAGGGTCATGTGTCATTATTTTTCTCACCAAAAACGCATCATGACCAATGTAAAGCAGGTCACTAAATAGAACTGTCATACGATTCTACTGGACAGGAAGTGAGATTAATTATTTGTCAAATTTTACTCAACTATGAAAGGGCTAAAACATAACTAATGGGTTTCATATGAAGTGTGAATGCGAAGTATATCCTTTGAAAGAGAATAGGGATAAGCGATTCATGCAAGAGAAAATTGATAAATGAAAATAAGAAGATTTTGAAGGGGGTAGTAGCAGTTATTAAATTCAGTGTTTTAAATGAGATTTTGACTACCAATCTTTCATTTAAATTCTCGAGTTCTTCGGGTATAAAAGAAATCTTTCTCTTACCGCAATTATTATAATTCTTGTACTAATGTATATTGAAGAATATATGCATGTAACATCAATCCATTATTAAAGGAAACTTAGATTGAAAATGAAACCTTAACGGGTTTTGATAACTCTTGGATATCTCCCCTTTTATAATAATACGCTTCTAAATGCTATTATTCAATAGAAAAAAAAACAATATACAAATACAACTAATAACTAAAAACGTAACAAAATCATTGACAAGGATCATAGTAACAAATCAATAATATATTTGGACATAAATATATGCAAGAGTATTTTACCGATTTTCAAATCTCATAAGATAAATCAGTGTGAACAACAAAAACCGAGGGAATCGCATGAAATCCAATTCAGGACGAAAATACTATATAAATAAAGTCATTTTCTTTACTGGTATGTCAGATTTTTAAACAATTTCAAAACAAATTTTATAAAACTGTCGTTGGCATTATAATACGACAAAAGGCTCTCTATGTTGTTGACATGAAATTTTGTTATTGTTTATTATGCTGATTATATCTATGTAATGCATTGCTTGATTTTAAAGAATGATGTAATATTGCAGAAATAAACAAATTTGACAACAACACATACAAAGTAAAAGAGAATTCATACTAAGAAAGAAACACATTTACCTGTTAAACAAACGAAAGTACTAGTAGCAGGAAGTATTCATGTAAGTTAATGAATATCAATTAAAATATAACTTTCAATAAAAGGAAAGGTGGAGTATACATAAATGAGACAGCAACCCATTGACATAAAACTGAGATACATCTAAGGGTTAACATACTGTCTTCAACAATAGTAAGTAATCTATACTACTCTACCATTAATTTTCGTTTTCAGAAATGCAGCAGATGAATTACCATATGGGAGGACCAGCATATCTACCTCCGCCGCCAGCATACTATGATAACCAATATCCAGTACCTTCAATGCAAAGAAACGTTCTTCAGACACCAACTGCTCTAAGTTCTCAGGAACACAAATCAAGACAAGCTAATCCCTTCCTTACAACAACTGCCCTAGGGAATTACAACCGATAAATACTTACATTAAAAGATTGAGAAAACAATTTCATTTGATGTTCTGACATGTGAAGCTGTCAAACCATAATTTGTTTTTGTGAAAAACATAGAATTGGCACTACACCAATCTTGTGTTTATACTTATTCCTGTAATAGCGTCAAAACATAAATATCTGCACATCATCAACTAAAGATGCATCAGCAAGCTAAGCCTTTCATTCTTTAAATATTCATTTCATTTCTTCATATATAACGCCCTTTGCAGTATCTTCTCTTCTGTAAGAGATTATCATATTGTATCATTCAAGTTCAGTTTTGGTCACAGTTATACATCTATTCACCAAACAACTCATCCAAATCAATTAAGTTGGGGTTGGTTGGAGTAAATAAAATTCAGTAAAATATTGAGTACATTTTACCTATATCATGTATATCAATAGGTTAATCAATTATTTCGATTTCAAATATCAAATAGCCGAATTTTGAAGACACCAGTTTAACTACTAGTATGTGATGTTTCTAGTCAAACTTTTGGTTTTAGCGTTCCTGACGATAGGAAATCCAGAAAAAGTCTTCTGACGCATAAGCCTTATAAAGCATTATTTTATTTTGTTTAAATTGGAAGTAAGAACATTTTGACCAGTATGCATAGAAAATCATATTATTTTCAATTACGTTTTCCGGTTTCACAGCATTACACTGGGTTTAGAAGTATAATTCATGTTAATATAATCTATCTTCTATCTTATAAAACTGTTTCAGTGATGCAAGAATATAAACGATACCAAGGATTTGTATAGTATACAAATCCTTGACGGTACCAATTTTACTGCACCAGATGCCCATTCCGACAATTATTGTCTCTTCACTGATGGTCGAGGCCAAAATATTCGAAAATCCAAGATCGGATCAACCAAAAGGACCTAAAGTATAGCTAACACAATTTATCTTCTTAATGAAAATCAAAGAAAAAGTAAAAATGTGTGATTGGTTTATCGATAAATGAAATGCAACATTGTTAACAGAATTGACAATTTTAATATCCTTTTTCGGTAACCTTTGTAATGTCAAGTTTATTATAGGATAGATCAAAATAATGAGTTTTGGTCTTAGGAAAACTGAATACCGACTACATAAACAGAACCTTTCAAGCTATATACAAGTTAACTATAATGCCGATTTTTCTTCGCAAGTTAAAAACAGATTATATGAACATATATATACTCATTTAATACAAATGATATTTTATTCTGTAAAGGACCTGAATAATGTCGAATAAAGACTGAAAAAAATTTCAACGACTGATTTTTTTAAAACATGTACTTAAATTTATGATACAGCTGATATCTGTTTTTAGCTTCTTGATTGGAAAAAATTTACATCCATCATTTTATCTGGAAAGATCGAGCAAAAAATATAGAGGACGAATTCCTCAATACAGAAGAAAAATCGACAAGAAGAACTGCGAGCTATTGCTCATTTATGATAACCTGCTTTAAAAATTCGGTAAACAGGAAGTTGAAGCAAAACATTTTCTTATGAAGCCTGATAAGAAAATTCAAGAAGATCTTATATGTAGTTCCCTAGAACAATGTCATGAAAATTCTATACATGATCCTCATGTTTTAGAATATATATAAGAATTCGGTAAAATAACAAAAATACCAAACTCCAAGGAAAATTCAAAAATTCCTTTATGAAATGGCAAAATCAAAAGATCAAACACATCAAACGAATGGAAAACAACTGTCATATTCCTGATTTGGTACAGGCATTTCCTTGTGTAGAAAATGGTGGATTAAACCTGGTTTGATAAACCTCTCACTTGTATGACAGTCGCATAGAATTCCATAATATTGACAATAATGTGTGAGCAAAACAAACAGACATAATAGGTAAAAATGTCAAATATTGGGGTACAGCAGTCAACATTGTGTTATAATCTTGATCACTATAACAACAAATAACTATTTCAACAAAGAAAAACAAAATGGCATATAGACACTCTATAGACAAAGTACATAAGCAAAAATGAAAGACAAGAATACAAAATTGACCATAGCACAATAACACAATGGATGTATAAGTACCGAGCCACGCCAAAAGTATATTCCCAAAAATGGACTAAACAGTAAAGGTTAAAAATGTACAAGGACAAATAAAAAGAACACTATAACACGAAATTAAGATGATAAACAACGTCAATACCTAGAATCTATACTTCAAGACCATCATGTATTATTTAATTTGTGAAGTTGATACGGAATATTTATCAACAAGGTCTTGGTATCTTCCAATGAACTTTTTTAGAAAAAGGACGAGACGTTCTTTTACATAACCCTGGTTCATCAACTTGATGCTGAGACACTGGTGACGTTTTATAAAGTCTAAGTAGCAGCTGCAAGCTCTTGAATACCGAACGAGTTGGGAAATGTATATCCCATATGCAGGTGAAGTAGGTATATTGCTAAGGTGGGGGAAATTTATAATTTCAAAATTAAAATCGTCTCGTTTGTTATAGACTCTGGTACTGAGATGACCGCTTATGTCAAATTCTAGGTATAAGTCTAAAAATGAGGCGGAGGAAGCCGTGTCTGTTGTTTCTTTAATTTTTAGTTCTGGAGAATATATTAATAGAAACCAATCAGAAAAGTTTTGATTGTTAATGAAAAGAACATCATCAATATATCTGAATGTGAAATTAAATGATCTGGCTTCTTTGATCTTCTTGTTTTTGACAAGTGTCTGAAGGAACTCCGACTCATATGAAGTCGGCAAAAAAGAGGCGAATAGTTTGTTCCCATAGGAATACCGACAATTTGTTGAAAAAAATCTACCTCCAAATTCAACAAATATGTTGTCAATAAGAAACTCCATCATACTGATCACTTGTTCCTCTGTGTAGCATGTTTTACCTTTTTGTTCACTATTCACAAAATATGCCGTATGGTATCCCAAAGAAATAAATTTATAGCGTATGCTACCATTTTTATATTGAAAAGCATTGTGGATTATTTCCTTTAGACGATTTTTCAATTTCACATGGGAAATAGTGGTATACAGGGTTGAAAAATCAAAAGTTTTGATACAATTAATTTCAGAGAAAGATCGAGATTTAAAATTATCCAGAAGTTCATTAGAGTTTTTTAGAATTCACACATGGTTAATACCACTACGCGAGTATACAGTTTCACAGTAGTTCTGAAGACCCTCTTTCACTGCGGACAGAATTTTTGTCAATCTAATGGACAATTCCTTTGTAGAACATGCAGATGAGCCGGCAATGTACCGTTGTTTGTACGGAATTTTGTGAAGCTTAGGTATCCAATACAAACAAGGTAAGTCCTGAGATTTGCTGTTCAATGTAATGTTCATTGAAGCCATGAAGGACTTATGATTCGCCAAAATCTCATCCTTGTCAAATGATATGTTTTTATGTGTGAGATTACCTGAGTGCTCATTTATTCCTAACTCTTTTACAAGACACTCATAGTAGTACGATTTACATACAAAGACAATATTATTTGAAGTTTTGTCTGCAGGAACAACAACATATTTATCATGAAGAGATGATAGACATTTCACATCTTCTTTATCTCTGAAAACGGACTTTGGTCGATCATTCACACAGTTTTTTAACTTATGAATTCGACATTTTATCACAGACCTGATTGTTTTGACCCGTTCCAACAAAGTGTCCAGTTCAACTTCTTCTCGTTTAGCCCATGCTCTGGTGTAGTCCTCAATGGAATCCATAATTAATTTGAAGTTAAGATTCTAATAGATGTGTTGGGGTTCTCTGAACTAAGGACCATGAGATATCACCTTTCGGAGATGTTCATGTTGAATTATGTTCAGATCCACAGTAATAACATGGCCAGAGGGTCTGTAAATATAAGGCGAGTGAGAACAGTCATATGTCAGAGGTTTGTTTTAGGTATTCTTCTAAATCAAGGTCCTGCAATGCTTGCTTATAATTAAATACTTTATGTGCAATGGCTTTGGTGTAACTGTAGGATACAATAGGAACAGACTGATTTTGAAAATAAAGTGGAATTTGTAGATGTTACATCTTTGTGATGAAGAACGTTACTCATGTTGATAGCATCAATTCCTTTATTAGTAAACTGAACTGGAAGGAATTTCCTCTTTTCATCATGTAAAGGTTCCGATCTTACTGGTTTGAAAAGATGGGAAAGAGCTACATCACAAATTATACTGACCAATCTGTATATTGGAGAAAATGTATTTATGCATCCCTTGTCAAGTGCATAATCTCTCAAACATTTCAGAAAATTAACAGGCAGTGAAAAAAGAATAGTTCTAATGTGATGTAACCCTAGCGGATGATGAAGATGTGAAAGAAGGTCATCAAAGCTCCCAGAGGGCGAACTAGATTTAGAAAACTTTTTTACATGGGGTTTTGCCCTTGACTACGCCCGGGTCTTAAGGTAGTATCAAATAAGCTCATTAAATTTACATCACTGCAGGCTGGACTTGACAAATTGCCTACTCCTTTGATGTTATCATTGCAACCATATGGCATTGCAGTACCTAGTTCCTTTATCCACAAATTTTCTCTATCTTTTCGGAAAGGAGTACTTAGTAAAGGGCTATTGGTGTGGTGATAAATTTTCTCGATGATGCGTACTTTCATATAGATAAAGAACGGTTGATTAAAATAGTTATAAAGTACCCTGAATTGCGGATCTTTATTATCAGACCAGTGTTGATTCATCCTTTTACGCAAAGTTTGTCGAGTTTCACCAACATAAAGTAGCCCACACAAAGTACATTCAATTCCGTAAACGACATTGTTTGTGGAACAGTCCAGAGGCTAAAAAAATGTGTATAATAAGTTTTTCCTGTTAAGTTACTAGTGAAATCTGGAGAAGTGATTAACATATTACATGTCTTACATGTGCTCTTCTTTCCTTTTTTATGTTTACAAGTAGAAATGATAGTTGATTCACTATAGTAGCGGGTAGTAAAGCAGTATTCCACCTCTTTCGTAGCTGGGTATAATAAGTAGAAAACTCATTTCACCTTAAATCTGTTGCGGACTCCGGTACTTGGTAGATAATATAATGTTCAGAGGTGTGTCGAATGTGTCTCAAATACGCGCAGTAACCGGTTCCGGTTGAAACCACGGTATCTCATACCTTTCAAGGCCAACTGGTATTGAAATCACAAGTACCCTTTTCTGTATAGATTGTACCTTTACCAAGTTATCGTTTACCTCCTCGTATCAAATGTTTAGTCGTAAAGGAGTATATGAGTTCCTCAATTAACAAAAAGCATCATGGCAAAAACACGGTCCTCTTTTACTTCTTACACTTACGAATATAGATAAATGAATAAAGTTTTCTATTAAATAGTGTGCAAAATGTATATTTTGGGGTAACTCTGTCTATTACAATAGCATTACTCGTTTTCATTGTTGTTTGAAAATAATAACAAATATCCATGCATACTAGATGTTTTAATCAGAATTAAGAGACTAAGTCGATCCCTCGGTAAAAAAAAACTGAAGTTAAAATGGAAAGTATTAGAAATTATACATGTGCCAAATTATATTTATACACATGATTAAGTCTTTTATTTGAAAAACAAACCTGAATAAAAAATATAATACAAAAGTCACTATCTTTTGTTTTAATAAGTGAATATAAATGTATCACTGCGTAAAAAACTTTTTTAAGTATATCAAAATGGAAACTATACAAAAATTTTATTTCATGGTTACTCTTTGTATTTTATACTCAGGTCAGTCAAATTAATGTATACTGGTGCTTTATTGTACATTATAAATAATTGATAGACACAGTGCTTTCAAAATTGGAAAATGCTTTAAATTACGTAATTTACCAATAAATGCAACAATTTGTGTACTTACTATCCATTTTATAAGGGAAGGTTACACATCTGCTCAAATAACGTAGAAATACCAGACAAATTACTGAATAACACAAAAATGCAAAATTTACTATAACATACAGGGAAGTGTTGTTACTGGTTACACAGAACATTAGATAATTGTTGTATTCAAAATCAAAAAGAAAACAAAATAGACACTTAGAAGAAAACAACTTTCTTAAAGTGACAAATGTTTGATAATAAAACATACTTCAAGTTTCATATTAGCCCTAACCAACAATGGCATTAGTAATTCGATAACACGAGATATAAAACAAATACGTCAAAAATAGACAATATGTTTTTTTAATAACAATATCATAAAATACATGAAATTAACCAGATATATAGAATATATAGAATACTGGCATTTTTGTTTTTGATACTGACTTTATCAGCAAGATTACCAAGCGAGCCCGCAAGGGCGATCTGATATTCGAACTAATAAATTAGGTATGAAAAATAAAATGACATTAATCTTTTTATCGGCCATTTATCTCAACTACATGATTATTTTTGGTTTAGAATATGAAATTACATGAAGTATTTGGTAAAAATTGTTAAGCACGGAAAAAACTTTATAATAGCTGTTCGGTTGTCTCACTTTGCATCTACCAACTTCTGCAAATATTATAAAAAATTAAAGAATACAGGAATGAAAGACTCCCATTCATACCCTTATATCTATTTAAAGTATCCTCGTGTGTTACTTCTAGTGATAATACCGTATACATGTTAAAAAACAACAAAATAATAAACTGTTATCAATGATTGGGAATTTGAACCTTTTATCCAGATGGCTCGAAATCCTACGGATACCTGATATAGTATTAAGCCATCAGAGAAAATCAAGAAACAGCACAAAGTTCATCAAATGGACAAAACATAAAATAACTGCTGATGAATGTGTTAATTTGGGACGGGCGCGCCAAATTAAGTATGTTTAAAACGTCGAATATCGTGTTTTACAATTTGTTATAGTATGGTGTTCTAAAGCGTCATTATAATTCTTTTTAATGTAGGATTCTAGATTAAAATCTTAAATTTTCATCTTAATTAATTTCCAGCTTCCCACGTTGAAGGATATAACCGTTACAACCGTTACTACAGCTACTATTATTCCTACGATGGCTTGTAAGTTGAATGTATATTTATGGTCTTGTAATGGACGAAGATTGTTATTTTTTATACATTACAAATTAAAGAATAAAATTACAGATGATGAATAACTCAATCGACACCCCATGATCAGTTGAAACGAAACAGTAGCAAGAAAAATTTACTGTCCAAACATTCTTCGAGTTGGTTTCATTTCAAGCTATATCACAGAATGATAATAAAAGTAAGATAGAAAGGCACTCGAGGGGCAGAATATTTCATTTGATTACATTTTAAGTCTCATATTGAAACTTCAGTTGGAATTTGCATTAGTGTTAATCCAGTGTAAGAAGAGGACACGGCTTACGGTTGGCCTATTTGGAAGTCCTACCAGGAATTAATTCAGACTTCAAAGGTAGGCATGTTCTACATCATTTTGTAGACAAATTAATGCAGATTGACGGCATAACAAGTTTTATTGGAATAGACAACCGCGGAATAGTAAAATAACAAAAATCGCGACCGAGTGTAATTTCACGAAAATGCAAGTTATCTACCTTGTGTTATATATATATGGAATGGAAAAAAAATCAGAAACAGGTGCCTGTGATTTATGTAACTGAAAGGTGTTCCTTGTAGTACAAATCAACTGTTTATCGATTTGAAAAGAACACGACTCAGTCATTTATTGATAAAATAAGAACACTATTCAACAATTTCTCGATTGAAAAAGAACACCATTCAACCATTTATCGATTTGAGTTTTCCGTACATTGATATATCTATCAAACATCCCCGTATTGTATTGTATATGATCTTGATTTCTGGTATAATTACACCTTATATAAGAATGCCGGGTTTTGATTGGTTGGTAGCCAGTGTATTTTTCGCATATTCTAACCTTTTTTCCTCATTTCAAACAAATTTGCCTGTTTTTCACCGCTGCCGGTGAATATGCCTCAAATTCCCCTCTATGCCGTGGTATTTGCCATTTTGGATATTCCTTTTTTACCCTCGCGAGCCTCTTCCCGCCAAAATTATTCGAAACCTTTCTCACCTTATCCTGATTATTGAGGCAACACGATTAAGCAATATTGATTGATAGAGTGTAATTAAACAGATATATCATGTTATGGAGGGGTATTTGCGAAAAATACCAGTCTTGGGACCAGATTTCCCTCGCCTAACAGCTCGGGAAATTTCACAGTTCCTTGACTGGTATTTTTCGCAAATACCCCTCTTTAACATGATATATCTGTTCAATATTATTCATTTCTAAAATTGTCGTAAAGTGTAGCTTCCCAGTTCTATCGAATAAATTCATTTTGTATATAAAAGAGACAGAAGATGCCAAAAGGACAATCAAAACCACGACAAAAGAGACAGAAGATGCCAAAAGGACAATCAAAACCACGACAAAAACGACAAAACGACAATAAGATAAAACAACAGTCTACAAAACATTACACAGAATCCAGAAGACCGAACAACAGGAACCCCATATAAAATCGGGGTGATCTTAAGTGCTCCAGAAGGGTACGATCCTGCTCCATAATTTGCACCCGTAGTGCTACACATGGCAAGTACAAATTCGGTGATAAGACGCTGAAATAACATCTATAAAGATTTTCTTAATTTAAAGAGAAATTGTCTATTATTATTTCAGTCAATATTACAAATGAATCAAATGGTTCTGAGTAAAAAAAGTCGAAGAGCATTTTTGTGCTCATAAAATCAGTGTCTGTAACTAAGTTAGTGTGTTTCACAATAAAACAACACCTTCTGAAGCTTACGAATATACAAAGCCACAAATGCCACAGATATCCAGCATTAACATAAAGATCGTGAAGATAATGCAGGATTATTGCTTTTCCGTTCTGAATCCTATAAAAAAGATATCCAGAAGTTCCAGAAAATTTAAACATTATATCGGAATAACTATAAATGCCATCCAGAAAATGATTGAAACTTTTTTTTTAAGATCTATTGGTGCGATTGTTGGTATAGTTATTTGTAGTTTAGTAGTCCTGGGAATAGTGATTACTTTCATATTTGCCCTGTGTGGTACTTTGTGCTTCAACAAACGGTCACACCGGGCTATAACCAGTGTTCCCATCAATAATGTCACAATGGTTACAGCACAGCCAGGATATCCTCGTAAGTATGATAAGAGCGATTAAATGGTCTCTATAACATTAATAATGATATTATTTAATCTTTCAAAATTATCTAAATTATATTGATAAATGAATATGATAATATAATTAAGGGTTAGTTTGGTCGTCCGTTACAACTGACCAAGCTCACATTAATAACTATACAAACGCTGAAATCCTTACGTTATGCTACTATAAAAGAAATCAGTAAAGTTTTTTCACTAAGACTTTGTATTCGTGTAATAACCAATCGGTTACAGAACTTCAGAATAAACATAGAGGAGACAGAAGTGTTATACAAATAGCCAACCCAGAAATATATGGAAACGTCTCCGTAAAAGCTATCAAAATTTTTCTTCCTTAACATAATTTCAATTTTCACGTTTTATTGGACACATTTACCTCTATAAGATAATCTACTGGTTTATCATATAAGTTTTATGGTAATATTTTGTTTTGTTTGATTTTGTTTGTATTGTTAAATGTATTCTTTGACTTATAAATGTGCACTATGAAAAAAAAAATAATAACCAAACGTTCAAATCATCATTCATAGACCAGACAAACAACATTTACAGTTATTAATTATAAGAAAATTGAATATAATGATAAAAGATACGTAAAATAAAGTGCATTACCATTTGGTAGGAAGGATTTATTTTACCTATGAATAGATATGAATAAAAGAAGGTGTTGTGTATTCGCCAATGAGGCAGCAACATATTACACCAGAAACCCCAAATACATCTAGAGATCAACATAAGACTTCAACAAAAGACAATTGTCTATAAAATTTCACCATTAATTTTTATTTTTAGAAATGCAGCCAATGAACAACCAAATGTTTGTACCAGCATATCAACCTCCCCCACCCCAAACATATCAACCTCCTCCACCCCCAGCATACTACGATAGTCAGCATCAAACACCTGGAATGGAAACAGACGTTTTTCAGACACCATCTGCTCCAAGGCAGGACGGACACAACTCAGAACCAGTGAATCCCTTTCTGACAACAACACACTTTGGAAATTACAATAGATAGCTATTTAATTTGAATGAAATGATAATTATTTCACTTGATATTCAAACAAATTTAGATGTTATACAATTAGTTATGTTTTTAGGAATAAATATAAACTGCACAACACCGAAAATAATTCTTTATCAAATTAACCAAGTAATAACTCCAAAACACCGGTTCGCAACGACCTAATTGAGTGAGACCAGAGCTCTGACTAAATAATTCAAAGTTTGATGACTATGTTGAATGCATCTGTCCCATTGAAATAAAAGATACCACAGATACAGTTTAGTCCGCCTCATATCTTGTCTGATATTTAGAAATTGACATTAAGGGTCGGTTGAGAATTCAAAAACTTTACGAGAAAAGGGATGATTTCAGCTTTCCCATTGTGAACTTTCGGTTTCTATGTAGTACCATTTCAGCAGCGCCTGCATATGGAGTACCGGAATATATCAGTTGATACGGTATTCTACAGCTTGTGTTTCCTATAATAATTTCCATAATAGAGGGTTGCTGCTTACAATAAAGCTTCAGTTGTCTAATTGACAATCATACCCCATCGAACCAAGGTTTCCAAATGGTAAAGTTAAAGTCAACCTTTCGAAAATTTTACGGACGACGTCACTAGTTGGTTGACCGGTTTGGAATATCTATGTTGATCACAGATGAAAACAGATATGTTCTAATTGTCGTAACCACAACGCCGTACTTCTTTCCTATATTGTAACATCACCAAATGAGACTTATCACGGAATTTGTACTTACCATGAGTAACATGGCGGATGCCACATGTTTACCCTATCGAAACACCTTTGAAGATCACCCATAGTTTTGTTTAAAAGATGTTTGTGTTGCTCTTGCTTTAGTTTTCAGTGTTTTCTTTTGTGCTCTTTTATTTTTCGATGTCTGTGCTGTATCTACTGAAACCAGTCCTGTCTATCTTTTGTCCTAAAAATGTGTTTTAATTTGAAAATTACACATTCTGTCAAGTATAAGGGTTAGAAAATTTACATGGCCGATTGTTTACTTATTTGGTGATATCTTATATGGGATAAGATAAGAGTCAATTACCAATCCGCTGTTTTGTTATGCATAATTACAAATGTACTCAAAATTACTTTTCAACGTATAAATACAAGTTGCTTTCTTTTAAAAAGAAATGCAATCGTGAACCTAAATGCCTGCAATGAAAGATCACTGACGGATAATTGTTAAATAAAGATGCATGGTTTTACCTCATTTTTGTTGTATAAGATATAGAAACTGACATGGATTATTAATGTAACTGATGTTCAATGTGGGGCAAAATATTCTTTTTAAATGAATCATTTCTCTGTCTCCGCTCCCTCTCTCTCGAAAGATGACAGTACAACATGCTAATTAGGAGTCACCTACTGGATGTTCCATTCTGAAGTGCTGTGAAATTAGAGTTATTTTTTTTGCCTAAGGTCGAAATGCAAATGTGAAGAAATTAAATGAGATTAATCATGATTAATTTTTTTGTAGCCAGTTTGAAAATAGTTCAAAATTGTAAGCTGTATTCTTATTTGATAAACCCGAACTAAAACCGTTTTTAAAAACCAATAAAACTGATTTATATGGTTTAGTCATTGGCTATCATATTCAAGATATGTTTGATCTCAATTTATTTATATCACAGGCAATCCGTTGAATACGGATATTGATTTCAAGAAACATAATTTGTACTATTAAAGCTTATTTTTTTTTGTGTTTTTTTTTCGCTAATAACATATCGTCCTATTTTGTCACCAAACACGCTCTATGGCCCTGTCAACTAGATCCTCTAACTTGGCTTATGAATACAGATTGCCGCGACTCATTGGAAATGAATTGGCGGAATTCCCAGAAACTTGCAATGATTCTTTTATAGGTGAAACACGAAATTGTGCATCTACTACTTTAACTTTTAATCTGATTTATTTGGGTAAGGGTTTCACATACCAAAAACAAAAGAATTGACTTTGCCATTAATAACTATATTTTAGAGAGGGTAATCGACACAGGTGTCCCTTGGAAAACTTACACATTACCCCCTCCCCCCCCCCCCCCTCCCCAAAAAAAAATGACAAACGGATCTCTAATTTGATAAAATAATCATGACTAAATAATATTTATCTTTCTGGTATTATAAGTACTTAAACAATTGCTAATCTATTCTCACAAACCACATACCGGTAGTTATTTACAATAGTGTTCGATGCCAAACATCGAGGATTATATATATATACTAGTATATCAAACCTAATTTTTTTTTATTCCAATGACCATAAGTTTTAAATAAGCAGAAATTTATCGCCTCATGCCAAAGAATATCACTCAGTGTCCCTGAATCGTTTAATATCTATAGAACACTTTTAAGTACTCAAACGCATATTCATTAATCAACTGTAAGCTGTATTCTTATCTAAAAACCCCGAACTAAAACCGTTTTTAAAAACCAATCAAACTGATTTATATGGTTTGGTCATTGGCTATCATATTCATTATATTATATGTTTGATCTCAATTTATTTATATCACAGGCAATCTCCTCTCCGTTGAATACGGATATTGATTTCAAGAAACATAATTTGTACTATTAAAGCTTGGGTTTTTTTGGGTTTTTTTATCGCTAATAACATATCGTCCTATTTTGTCACCAAACACGCTCTATGGCTCTGTCAACTAGACCCTCTAACTTGGCTTATGAATACAGATTGTCGCGACTCATTGGAAATGAATTGGAGGAATTCCCAGAAACTTGCAATGATTCTTTTATAGATGGGACACGAAATTGTGCACCTACTACTTTAACTTTTAATCTGATTTATTTGGGTAAGGGTTTCACATACCAAAAACAAAAGAATTGACTTTGCCATTTAACTATATTTTTGGAGACGTCCCTTGAATAACTCACACATTATCAACTGTTTCGATATGACATAATTTTTGCACATAATACCGTGTTATATGTCACTAATTTAACACACTCAAAAGGTGCCTTTTAAATTTCGTCTAAATTTCCAGGGTTAACTGGCATTGTTTTTATAAGATTAATTTAAAAATAAGGAGATGTGGGTATGATTGCCAATGAGACAACCATCCACCAGAGTTCAAATGAAGTGGATGTAAGCAATTATAGGCAACCGTACAGCCTTCATGGCCGTACTTTATTCTCAGCACGTTTTTGTTTCTCCTTTTTAATTTTATGTCTGTTCAAACCAAACTTAAACGAAATATGTTCTTAAAAAAGAGTTAAAATAAGTAATAGTAAAATTATAGAGTTCAGAAAATTATTTTTGTCACATGTTAGTACAAGTCATATATTTCTTATGCGGAACCAAGCGATTAAATAACAACACTTTGAATAATGCTTTTAATCGTTTTTATAACAGTGTGGACGAGACCATTTCTTGGCTCGGTCAGGTCTCCCATTGACTGGGTTAGATTAGATGAACGTTTGTCTGTAACGCCCACTTATCACGTCGTATCTATTGTAGACATTTTAACTGTGGGGTCGCCAAAGGTTCTCAACGCCTAAATCAAATAATTCGAAAAACTAGTACAGGAATAACCTTTGAGTTTTGATTAAAATTGAATACTTAAACATTCTTTACTTGCGTTTTTGTTATGTTTTGATAAACAATTTTAAGATATCACACGTTCTTTAAACATAAAAATTAATTTAACTAGCTTTAAAAGTTACAATGTATATGTTGGCTATTATCTTTTTCGGACGTCAAAGCGATTAACCCATTGCGGTTGTCTAATTTTTTCACTTAGGATCTTTTAAATTATTGTCTTTTGTAAAATTTTATTTTAGAACGAATGCATGATCAACTATCAATAGTTGTGCAATTACAAAACATACACAAAATATACTTTCGTACTTGCAAGATATTGGACAGTAAAAAGCTATTTGGACCAAGCCTTACGAAATAGGTAAAATGTAAAGTTTGGTGGATATAGGAAACTGGAACTTTTCTGCTAACTACCATACATGTGAAAAACCCTTGGTAGCAGAATGATTATGCACCGACTTTTCTTCCTTTTCTGAGTGTGTGTGTTGTTTTTTTTTTTTTTTGGGGGGGGGGGGGGGGGGGTTCTCATGCACATACATAAACATTACTTTTTAATCTCAGTGTTGTATTTTTTTCGTTCTTAATTTTGAATGGAAATCAATTAGTTTTTTTCCCTCTTTTTTTCTGAAAAAAAGTATTTTTTCCTTTCCTATTTTTTTTTTAGAATCAATTCATTTTTTTAAACGGCCTAACTTACACACACACACAATAATTGAAGGCAGTTTATATATCATCTTCGTCCTTTTTAAGATCGCAATGAAAATGTTCATATAATATATGTATCATATTTTTTCTCTTAAGGTATTTTGTGAATTAACTCCATCGACATTAAAGTTTTTACAATGAAAATAGAAATGTGTAAATGTATTTTTCGATTATTTAATAATATTAGCTCTGAACATTTATTATTCTCTAAAATGAAACTGTTGTGTGTGCTGATATAAAGAATATTTCAAACAAATTCCATTAAAGTTTTGAGAAAAGAGTTTCATTTTATGTATCGAAATGTGTATGTAACAAATGATTATTTAAATCCCCACTGGAAGGCCTCTGACAGACTGAGTGAGCGTAAAACCATTGTTATCGATAGCAGATGACAAACAAGTTAAAGGTAAATGATTCATTATTATTAACAACAAAAGTACTACGGTTGTCCACACTGTAACGGGAATGCCTCTATGTGTGTTTCCTATAAATTTTGAAATCTTTATTTCCAGTTAAAATTCCAACGATTTACATTCATCCTTCAAATGTATTTTTTCCTTTTTAAAAATACTACTTTATTTTTACAGACCATACAGACCTTACACCATAACAACTGATCGATCTTTAAGTATTCCCTTTCCGGGATAGTCATTTTTTAAAGATTTTTAATCATGGTCTGTTTATCTGATTAGCAGCGAGCCATTTTTAATCTAGATTTATATTGTTTATTTATATTTCGATATAATCTGTCCTAATTTAAATAATATAGATGTCTGCTGAGTGTATTTTTTTTATTTTGATTTTTATAAACCCTCATCGCAAGAAGGCGTCAAAG